AGGAAAGACCAGGTGTCATCTCATCATCGAAGACTTCAGTGGAAACGTTACTGATTACTCCCTCCCTATAGACCCTGTAGTTGAAGATAAAGGGTTCGAGACTTTATTCAATAAAAGATAAGTGGTTGACAAGATAATTGGCCGAGCTGCGTTTATTAAAGGTTAAATTTAGGGTTTTCGCTAGGTAGTTGGATAATAGGATATCTTTTGCTATGTTAAAAAAATTGAGAGTTTTAAAAACTTGTTTACCGAGACTAATAGGATGCTATTTTTCCGGGTTGTTAAAAGGATTAGAGAAAATTGTGGTGCTTCTTGCTTTCACGCTTACTCCAAATGCCGGCAATTCCTTGGGTGGCTTGAATGATAAGACAGACGCAAAAAGTTAAGGTGATGATGGCAAAGATTGAGAGAATCCATTCTTGTTCTTCCGTCGCTTGTTGGATCTTACTGTTACAAAGTTATCGTTGTCACTCTTTGATTCACTAGAAGGAGTGATTGATAGCCGTTTAGAGAGATGTGTTTTTGCTTCATCAATATTTTTTGGATGAAAAAGAGAATGGTGGACCAATAATATCTGTGAGTCGAGTGCAGTGAGTTCAATTATTTCTTATTCTTGTTAAACATTACCCAACTGAAACATTCAGTCAGCCCTTTGTTTTATACAAATCTGTGAATTTCTTAACTTGTCTTAAGACTTAAGGTAGGTTTCTGTAAAGCAACGGACTGAAGTAGTGTCTCAATAAATTTTTAGAGTGAATGTTAAATTATTATTTATTAATAATAATAATGAACTCATTTCCTTCAATTACATGCCAATTGCATTTTTTTGTTTTACAATACTTCCTCTTACAAAATTGATTGCCTTATAACTAGTGTTTTTATCACTCAACTGTCTTCTATTCGCCTAGGAAGTCTTAATTTAGTCTAGCCTAGATCCTGAATAGGTCGTCATTTAACCCATGATTTAACATTTTAACAGGACATAAAAATATAATAATAAAATTTTACATTCCAGAGAGCGAGTAGCCAATGTTCTGAACATCTGTCCTAGAAAGGTTCGGGAAATCGTGGAATAGGGCCTTAGTGGAGCTGACTTTGATACTGCAGGAAAAAAAAGACCATGAGAAAAATTAAAAAGATATATCTATGCAGAAACCAAAAAAGCGATCCGTACTACAGTATATGATCTCTATAAAGAACGTATGCGATTTGATGTAGAATTTTTTTTTCTATTGGATGATTGGATTTTTTACATTTTGCTATTATTTTTTGATCTTGTTTACTTTGTTCAGGTCGCTCTATTACTCTTCAATCTCTTCTAGAAGAATTAAGGTGGATGATAAAATTCTTTTCATTTTCTTGCCGTTTATGGTTTCTTTGAATGACTAAAGCATTTTAATTTTTTCCTTGCTTCGAAACTTTCCATTTTTTTAGAACCTGGAGAAAAATAAAATAGATCTACACAAATCCACATTTTTGCCATTTTTTAGATCTTATTTGATCTAATTTCTAAAACTCATATCTAAAAAACTGAAGAAAATTTGATCTTCGTAAATTTATGTAAATCTAGTGGTATCACTATATATGTATGTCTATGGAGATCACCATTGATCTCGGCAATAAAAAAAATTCTTAGAATCTACAGAGATTACAGAAGATCTGAAGTGAACGAAACAGATGTACACAGAACAAAGTGGATCTAATTGTGCCGAAAAATAGATCTAAGTAGATCAATGTAGATCTATTTTATTTTTTTCCAGGAAGTCATTTTTTCTTTTGAAAATTTACTTATTTCAATTTGTTCTCATTAATGCCGATGCTTCATTCGTCATTGAAATAAGCTTGACTTCATTGATAATAATAATTCTGGTTTTGAAATTATAAAGAAATCTAATGATCTTCTTTTATACAGGAAAAGAGATATCCAGTGTGCCGGCCAACGGGAAACGTGTAGAAAGGTCATGAGTGACCTTGGATTTTATTACAAAATACGCCGAAGTGATCGGTATTTGATTGGACAGCCTCACATCACATTAAAAAGGATCCGGTTTCTTCAAACTTACAACAATACACGATACGTCGTTTGGCAGGACGAAACATGAGTGCATCGAAAGGGTATTGGAAAATGTAGAGATTGGCAAAACAACGACATTCGTTGTTGCTCAATTAAACATTCCAACTATGGAGAACGGTTTGCCATTTGTCATGCAGGAGGCAAGGAAGGATTTGTACCAGAAGCATCACTAATCCTGAATACGAAGAAGAAACCCAAAGCTGGCGACCACTATTATGGTGATATTGATGCATTAACAATCGAAAATTGGTTTAAGAATAAACTTATTCTGAATTTACCCAATAATTCTGTAATCATCATGGACAACGCATCCTATCACTCAGTACAGGTAAACTTCTTTTATACTGATTCGAGTATATACATAGATTACACCAACCAATTGATTTGTTAATTATTTTAGTAATTTTTCCAATAACGAGATCGCTGATTCTAAAGTTTTCGGAATTAAACATCACTTAAACATAGGTATAAAGATATTTTTTACTGCACGAATGCTTTTCGTTACAGTACACTTTTATTTTATTGCTTTCATACATTGTTTATGCAAGCCCATTTAGATTTGAAATATTAAATATTGCGTGTTGATGTTTTGCGATAAAATCATGCATTCAATAAACTTAAATTTTCCTCTTTTTTAATTGCATTTGAATTTTTTTATCAATGTGTGCTTTATTTATTGTTGTAATATAAGCTACATAAACATATATATCAATGTCACTTCATTTAAATGGCATTTTTCAGATTGAAAAGCAGCCTACAACAGCTTGGACTAAAGCCCAGCTGCAATCGTGGTTCACTGACCACAATATTTTGTTTAGTCCAAGAGCAACAAATGAAAAATTGTATGAGCTATGCAAGATTCGTCGGTTGCCAAAGAAATACGTGCTCGACAATCGGGCGAAAAAAATACCTCCCACATGATACTTCGCTTACCACCGTACCATTACTTTTATAACCCAATTGAGATGGTATGGGGTATTACGAAGACATACTTCGATAAACATATTGGTCTCACCAATAAGTACACCTCGGATGCTGCGCTGGATATGTGGTCAGAAGCATTAGCACAGATAACACCGGAGATATGGAAAAACTGCTGCGAGAAGAAAATTTTCGAAGATTATGAGCGAGATGTCAGTCAAGTCCCAGGAAGGGTTAAAGCAATGAAAAATCACATATTGCAAGATGCTGCATATGAAGATTATGAAACGGAAGGTGAAGATAATGATGAACCTGATAATGAAGCTGTTGATGACCTTGCATTACACCTGAAACGCTCTGTGCGAAAAACACTGTTTAAAGATTCTGTTCCTGATGAGGTGTAAGATTCTTTATGGCTAATATTGATATTTTTCATTGTTTATAATACGTTTTCATTTATTTCTTCAATAATAATCATTTTATAGATGAATTTACAATGTTCATCACATACGGAGATATATGTATGATATGCAACTGAGAACTAATACAAAATACATCCTATTCTTTGCGACTATGATAAACATTAATAAGCAAAAATTAAATAAATAATCCGACAGACTCTCAGTCAGATTCTTCTGATACTACATCAACTGCGAAACAATGGAGCTGTCGTTGGACTCTGCCAGAAGTCTATGACTCATCAGGATCATCATCAGAAGCAGAAAAATCTCATGAATTCTCTGAATACTTACATTCTCCAATGAACTCCAATACCTGGAATTGACCAAGTGAATTAAGTAGAGCTAGATCTTTCCGTTAAAGCTCCAAAGATCTTTTGGAGTCATCCTCATACAGAGAATCATCACTCTTCGATCATCAGAGTTTCAATGGTTTTAGGAAAAAAGTTCAACCGAGGTGTTATCCAACACAACGCAATCAATTGCCACGTAATTCTGCTGGAATTCCTGATGATGGTAATGGACGTGGATCAGGTGTTTGCTCTCTTGATCGACGTAGACCACTGATTGTTATTCAAAATAAAAGTTGAATAATCTATGAATATAATTTTAACTTATTTACAATATATAAAGAATTTTTATTGCACTATAAATCAAAATAAAATTAATAACGCGCGTAGTAATACATTGAGTGCTTATGCGCATGCGCTAGAGGTGGGGCAGTCGGGGTTACGTCTAAGTTCCATAGTACCTCCAAAGGTCTATATTCTTTGGTACCTCTTTGTCCAGTTCGACTATACTTCAAATTTCTGCCCTATTAACTGTAGCAAAAAGCACCTGAAAATGATGTAACGAAATCCATCCTAATTACTGCGTTTTGTTATCAAAAATGATTTTATTTATAATATAGAAGGTGGCAAGGAGGTTAGCAAATAACTTTTTGCGGTGAAAAATTTGTAAAAAAATAATAATTAAATATTTTCTCTTGACGGCCATGAAACATAAAAAATCTTGTAATAATTCAATGACAATTTTCTTTCTAATTGAATTTTATTGAAATATAAATTAATAAAATAAAATGTTTACCAGCGGCATCCTACATGAAATAGGCTTCATTTTGATATTAAAATCAGTGGATATAATTGCAAATTGGCTGATAAATAAGTTATTTCCCGATTCCTTGGGATTTTTTTGGGGGAAACCGAAGTAAAGCCCAGCCTTAAATAGGTATGTAACGATACAGATCGAATTATAGTCGGACTGAGAAGAGTGTTCCTCAGATGCTCTTCATGTGTTCTTGTACGCTTGCGCAGTAGTAAAAAACATGGTAGAAGGGGTAGAAAATCAGTGGTGGGGAGCCCGAAAGCATTGAAGCAACTGAGGAACTCTTTTCTCAGTTCGACAATAGTCTCAACTGAGCAACAGAAGAGAGAGAGAGAGAGAGAGTTACTGCATTTATTTATAAGTTAGAATAATAAATAATTTCCCATTAAATAATTATAACTGTAAAACCATGTGATGACTGATAAACACATAAAGACATTCAATCAAAATTTAAAGCCGTTTATTTATCAAATTTTCTTCCATTACTCATTATATTACTCCTTCGGTTTATTGGACATTCATCATACATGTTCCTTATAATATTTTAATTATTATATTAATATGTTGTGTATTAGTCACTATATTCAGCTATATATTGAATATAATTATCAAACAAGTATCAAATTACTCTGCGTAAATCAATTGACAAACGTTATCTTTATTACATTTTATTATTAATTAATCAATCTACTTTATTCCTCCATTAATTCATATCTACGCTCTTTTGTAGTATCTCATAATCACTTTTAGTTAATCCATTCTTCGTTATTTTATGGAAGCATGTTTATATTGATTAAACATCAATTTTTATATTCACAGTCAAAATTATTAGTACAAATTCCGAGTATTAAGTACAATTAATTTGTGCATTTAATCACTAAAGTGCTGACAAATTAATTTTTTTTTCTCTCTAATTTAATCGTAAAATAATTATAATCATAAAAAAGTACGTATAAATTTCATGCTTAGTATTCTTTTGATAGTCTGTGATAGTCTCTGGCAGTGATGATGCAAAATGAGTATTCTAGTTAGTCAACAAATCTTTAATTTCATTTCAAAATAAATTTAATTATCGTGTGATTCTACGACCATGTAATAATTATTATTATTTTTTTCTGTTTTATCATCTGCACTATTTTTAATTATATAATTATTCAATCAGCTAGTTATTTTAGGCATAAATATTACACTTATTGCTTAATAAATGGCACTGCTGCGTATAATTATGTATGTCACCAGTGTTACTTAAATTCAATTTAGTATTACAATTTATACATTATCATTGTGAGATTCGTTGAAAATTAAAATCAATCACTTTTTTTTCATACGACTTAACATTTTTCAGTTTATAAATGTAAATTCAATTATTTGAGTCTTAAAAAGTCTTTAAAATTATTCGCAAACATCTAGTGCAGTCAGCAACTACCTAATCTATACATTAAAAATAAATTGTGTTAAAATATACATTTTATTTTTGATTATCACTACAAATATTTCTGTAAAATTATTTATTGTTCACTATTATTAAGTATTTAACGTTATCATGGCATTAAGAAAGAAAACAGTTGGTAAAAATAATAGATGTATTGCTTGGGATCATTAACTTTCGCTGAATGCACTGATTACCATCCATACAAATTAAAAAAAAAATAAACAATTTAATATTTTTCTTAGGATATTATAAAATCACATTATAAAATCCACATTTCTGTAAAAAAAATTAAATAGAAAAATTAAAAAAGGTATTAACCTGTAGTTCCTAATGAAAAAATCATTAATATACAATTCCGACTTTCAGTCATTTACTCCAATGAATCTTTTGGTTATTTATCACTGAAACCTATTTTTAAACTCGATATTTAATTAGTCTCATTTATTAATAAAGTTCCTAAAGATAAAGTCTGGTATATTAATATCGACTTTAATGCCAAAACATGGCCGCTTAATGCAAACTTGAAGACTAAGTTTGATTGTAGTTGCAACACGATCGCAACAGTATTGATATTAGAGCCTTGATTTTTCAATTTTTACTGAAACATGATTACCAATCTTTATCTGTAGAATCTTAAACTTATTGATTCCTTCAATAATAATAGTAGTAGTAGCAGTAGTAGTAATTTTCGATGAACAACTATGATATTTTAAAATTACGCTGCATCATGTATGACATATTTTGTTAGGGTGGTACATACGGTGGTGGCTTTCTGTACGTAGGTGTTGGTTTAGGACGATTTTGACGAGTATTATCAGATGTTCTAGCAAACGGAGGTGGTGGTTGATATGGTTCTTCAGAATTCGATTCTTTTGGAAGCATAGGCTGATCAGATCCATCATCAACTTTCTCTTGGTGATATTCAGGTGGTGGTAGGGGTGGTTTCTCTTCTTTCAAAATTACGGGTGATTTATTACCAGGATCAGGTTTCTCTTCCAGTTCATCTTGGAAAATAACTGGTATTCCTTTGCTCTTGAATGTTTGCCGCTCATCATCACGTTCACCACTGACGCTCATTTTTCCGCTGCGTTTTCTTTTGTATAACACACAAGCTATTATTCCAGCTAAGACTAACATAGCTGAAATGATAATAGCAGGAAGCACAAAGGTTATCAGATAATCATCTTGAGACGTTCCTAAAGTTCTTAGATCATCATCATCACGATCAGCTCCTGATAATATTGGTGGTAACATTCCTCTTCCACTGTCATGCGAATGTACGCGTGTAAATTCTCCAAGACAAATTTCCATTGGGGTTAAGGTCAATTGATCCACTGGGAACTCGGTACCCATAATTCTTTCAATTCTGTTAGTGAGCTCTTTATTGTCAGGTTTGACAAAAAGAACTTCACTCAGACGGGTAATTTCGTCATTGGGACAATAAGCCGTCGGAAGAGTTGTATTTCTCCAGGTAACAATTGTATTATTACTACCAGGAGCTGGCACAATGCTGGTAATAGAAATGGCATTAGTATCTTTATCACCAAATAATTCACGTAATTTTAAAATAAAGTTTTTCTTCAGCATCGCTGATTGTGAGAACAATTTATAATTGACACCAAGCTTAATGGTAAACTCAGCACTTGGTTTAACTGTCGATGCTGGTTCTACCACAACCACAAGATTGTCATTGGCACTGGCTCCATCTTTATCAGTAGCAATTAACTGATACTCTTTACGACCTACCTTCATTGGAACTCCATAGAACTCTTGATTCTTAGTATCAAATTGAAGCCAATCACTCGGCGGTATTGGATTCCTATCACTAGTTAACAAAGATAATTTTAAATACGTAGTTGAGCCATCTTCAGGATCATAAAATGTATCCTTGGGTACCCGGAATATAAGTAATTGGCCAACAACGGCACTGATGTGATCAACTTGATTTCTAGGCATCGGAGAGTTATTAACTTTAGGCTCTTGTGTACTTTCTCCACCTCTCTCTGGTAACGGTATTGATGATGGCGATGGTACTACTACTACAGGTCCATGATGATGATTATTTAAATTATCACATAGACGTAAACCAGTTAGTGTAACTTTCTTTACATGTATCTCTGGAGGTAAAATATTTTCCAACATGGCACTGGGATCACCCTCCTTATTAGCTACTAAAATATGGTACAGCTTGTTTATTTCATCTTTTGGACACTTACTAGTTCTTGGAATACTATCGTTAGTCCAAGTAAAAACCGCTTGATCGTTGCCTAATAGATTTATTGATCTCACTGTTATCTGATTTGTATCACGGTCATCATATAGCTCTGCTAAACTTTTGATGATCTGAAAAAATTTTAGAAATATAGTGAATATCTCAGTAGATTTTCAAGGGAATCATGTTTTTAAAATTAAAATTCTAAGCCAATCATTTTTATTTTTAAGTCCAATCAGGATGAAAGAGTAGGGAGAATTTATTAGCAACATAACAGAATACCAAGTCTATGTTTTGAAGAGCTTATAGCATTCAGCATAACATTCAGCCGTATTAAGGTTATTTGGCATTAACAAAACTCGCAGTTAATTACCCTTTTTTTAAATTTTTTCTGAAAGACCATACCTCCATGACTTGAGAGAAAAAAAAGAGATTTTCTACCATTTTGTTTAGGAGATATAATTACTTAAAGTTATGCAAAAATATATGAGCTCTTGTGACTGTCCTTGTTTAATTTTACCGGAAATTAATGATTTATAAAAAATTGGCACAGTTGACCCACAGTAAAAAACATCTTAACATAAAGAATAGTATTTGAAATGCATTTAAGTTAAATTTCAACATGATTCACCACACAGTTTTTTTTGAAATTTATGTTTAAACATTGTAACTCGGTATCTGTCTTCGTTTCTCCACCATATTTGCTAGGAAAAATGGCAGCAATGCTAATCAAAACAATTTAAATAAATTAAAGTTTATCGCTTATTTTTCATTAATAACTATTGCACTCAACTTATAAATTATTATTACAAATAATATACGCAAACTATGTACAAAGTTGTTTGATAGATTTTGAAAAAATAAAAAAATCCTTACTGTTTTGACTACCAATCTGTGAATGCCAAACTACCTTAAGTGCATAAGGTTTTAACAATATTTTTTACTTTAAATAATAAATCAAATGATAAATTACCTTCAATTCCCAATCAACATCAACAGGGAAAGTCATTCGCTTGTTTTCAATTTTCAAATATAAATTGAACTCATGATTTACTGATCGACTTGATCGATGCTGTTGTACATAAACATCTAAACGATCAGAAGCACGAAGACCTTGACGATCTGAAGCTACTAGTTCATAGCCCCATACAGAAACATCTTTTTCAAGAGGACTGTAAAAAAATATAACTTTTATTAATACAAATAACAGTATTTTCTTGCTTCATTTACAAGTTGTAAATTTATTTTCAGAAAACTTTTTTTTATTATTGAACAATCAATATTCATTAAATGATTAAATGTGATTACTTACAGCCCATAAACCTCTTGAGTCTGATTATTAAACTGAAGCCAATGAGTTTCCTTCAACAGACTACCTTCGAAATATAAAGCAAGTCTAAGATTCCTGGTGTCTCCATCTTCATGATCGATGAATGTGTTAGGTGGAATAATATAACTGAGTGGTTTTCCGGCAGTAATTGGAACTTTTGGTAATCTTTGCTCTTGTTGAGGTGGATAATTATGTGCTGGTTCATATTCAATTTTTTCTGTTGGAAATTCTGGTGTTTCTGTGGTTGTAGTAGTGCTAACAGTACTGGTAATAACAACAGAAGTAGTACCAGTACTACTTTCACTAACAACAGTACTCAGTGTAGAACTTGGTATTGTTTCAGTAGCTATTGTTGTCATTACCGGTGGTGTCACTGAGCTTGCAGGAGACGTTGTGATAGAAGTGAAATTCAAAACTGGTTCAGACTCAGATGCTGTGGATGATTTACTATCAAAATGAGGTATTATTGTTGTCGTTTTACTCATCTGATCTGTTGTAAGCATTGAAGAGCTTTGTGTCACCTGCAGTATAAAAATTCAATTAATTTTCTATTTAATTATCAAAGGAACATGTACATGTTCAACTAGACAATGCACATGCTCTAGTTATGTTATGTGAATAATATAATCTTAAAATGTGCTATTGTTTCAAAACTTTTTTGATGTCTGACGGAAAATATGTACAAAAGTGCTTGGGTTTCATCAAAAATTACTGAGTAAAAACGTACAAACTTGTAACAAGTTCCAATTAGAACTATACTAGTTCTTTTTTAACTATTACCCCTTTTCCGAGCAAGACTCATTTTAAAGTTAATTTTGATATTAAGTATTTTAAACGTTTCTATAAATTATTTTTAAAATATTAGCGATCAATTCGAGCCCGCTACACTGCCCCTTTAGCGCCTACACAGCGCTAGCTGTATTGAATATCGTTGTCTTAATCTATAAAAACAACGCACAAATTTTTTTCACTTTCTCCATATTTTTATGATAATCTAAAAAAATTACCACAAAACTACGATACTGGAGATAAGTTGATATTTCAAACAATCTATCAATAGATATCCAAATTTTTGGTAGAGTTCCGTTCAGGAGACACCTTCAAAAATGAATTTTTTGTGCTGGGATACACTAAAATAGTGATTAAATTTATTTAGGCCGTATGAGGGACGGCCCAGATCAAGGGAGGAGCCACATATGACGAATACAGACACGATTTAAAGCGAATTACATTGACTGGCAAGATAGCTTAACTGGTAGAGCAGCCAGCGCGTAACTGGAAGGTCCAGGTTCGAGTCCTAGTCTTGACAGAATATATTTTTCTCCGAAAATCGTCCTGAGCTAGTTGTGGAGTAGTCTATATGTGTTTAATTGGCTGAAGTGGAGGTGCACTCCCACATAGGAATTTCTTTCATCCACTTTATTACACAAAATTCATACATTTTTACTCAGATTAAAACCATTTAAAAAAAAATTCTTTTTATTTCTTTGATCTGAAATGATTTTTTACTTCCCGCCTGTTTATAAATTCTAAACACTAAATATGGCATTAATTACAGAAGCAAATGGAATGAGAGCTCAAAATGTAATATTTTACAATGCCTGATTGATATATACAAAATACTAATAAATAATCAATTAAATGGAATATTAAGCTGTAAGCAAAGCATTACCTGATCAGTAGTATTATTAACAGTTGTGAATATCGTGCTCGTCTCCACAATGTCACTTGTCGTTGCTGTGCTCGTGGGAGGGTTAAACAACGTTGTAGGTAAAAATGTAATAGGACTAATAGTATCAATATCCAATGGTATTGTTGTTGTTGTTATAACAATCGGGGTGATTGGCGTATTGAAATCGTCGATTCTATTTGATTCTTCAACATTATCAGAGTCAAGCTCACTTTTAGAGCTGATTCCTGGTGATGGTGATGATGATTGAGTTATACTTGCTTCATTAGTAGTAGTTTCTGTTGTTATGCTCGTTTTTAAAGTTATCGTTGGCGTTTCTGGTGACACAACACCCATAGATGATGTTTCGAATTCAATCGTTGTTGTATTCAATGTAGAATATACCGGTTGAGTAGTTGAAGTTGACGATATACTTGGTGATGGTAATGGTGTTTCAGTTGTTGTAGGTGTTGTTTGCAAAGTTGTCTGCGAAATTGTTAGTATATGCGATGTATGCCGAGATAATTGTTAATAACAAATTATATATTATGAGTGTAAAAATTTAAATTATTTTTGACAAGAAAGAGCAATTTCTTTTGTTTAAATTAAATATTTTTTTGATAATTTTCTATTTTAATTGAGTTTTTGAATATTATTTTCATTGTTTTTTAAGCTATATTGACCTCAAATCCTACAATCTACCATTTTTAACTGATTTCTTAACATTAAAAACCCTCAAGCATCTCTAATAGCTAGCGATGACAAGGTATATAAGCTAATTACATATATAAATGAAATAGTTGCTGGCTGAGGTAAGCTTTTGATCTGTAGATGTAAAATGAAATCAAAAAATCTTACCTCTTGTGCTGTTGTAGACATCTCCGATGTTGTAACTATGTTTGTTTCATGTCTATTCTCAATACCAGGAATGATTTCATCCTCATTTATATGCTCCACAGGCTAAAATAATTACATAGTTATTGGTAATATATAGTAATGTAAAATTTAGTTCTGTTGGAGTGTCTCTTAAGTAATATTGAATATATAAAAAAAGTTTCAAATAAAAATCAATTTAAGGATGTATATCTAGTCAAATCGAGCAGTATTTCTAAAAAAGTTTTAGATAGGTTTTTTTTTCAAATTATGTGTACCTACATTTTTTTAAATTTAACTAACGATTAATTAGTAATAATTCAAATTGTATTGATTTATAATCATTTATTATGAATAAAAGTTTTCATATGACTACTGTTAGCATCGCATTCAACATGTCGGACCATCCATTATTCCATTTTGCCAAAGTTTTTATCTAATTTTAGAAAAATAAACCCATTATCACCTATTTTTTGCATAAGTAAATAGAAAAACGTTCAAATTTTCTAGAAGTATATTTTTTTCCATACAAATGGATGAAACATAGCAAATTTTGTCATTTGCTTCCAATTTCACATACTTCCGGTACAAATAACACGTAGTTTAATGAGACTATTAAGTTCAATTGTTTCATAGAATATATCAGAAACGGTATAAAAATCAATAAAATATTATTTACTTTATTATATATCTCAAATTCAAGCTTTAAAGATGAACTCTATAAAAGTGTGATACATCCTTAAGGAAAAGTCTTTCAATATTAAAAAAATAATATCTCACCCTAATCTATCTAAAAATAAATATACGTACTTTCCAATCGGAACTTCCTTGACCATGATGATGTCTATGGGGATGTTCTACTGGTGGTTCTGGTTCTTCATCGCCTATTTTTGGTCTAAAGTGATCCACTGACGGTAAGAATTTACTAGGTGGTATTTCTGTGAATGATTCATTATTATCATCACCATCATCTTCACCTTCAATGACTCCTCGTTCATTATCATCATACGCATCATCGTATTCCTCATAATTCTCATCATAATCGTCATTATCATTATCATTGTTTGTACCGTAGTCTCCAGAACCAATTTCTCTACGACTTCGTACCAAATCATCATCCCGCGGTGACTCAGTTTTCACTTTCTTCTTGATATGCTTTATTTTGGACACTTTTCCAACTTCTACTGATTTTAAATTTGTAGCTGTTGTTACTTGCCAATAAGCAACTGGTGAGTGAAGTGTTTTGGTCAACGTCTTATCTTTTGTTTGTTTCTTTATGATCTTTAATAAATCTGCCTGATGCTTCCATAAGTGACCTTCGCAGCCGACCTAAAATAATTGATGATTATTTATTAAATGTTAAGAGAAATGAATCATTGGCTATTGTTCTAAAGTATTTAGCTAATAACACTTTTGTACAATGTGAACTAAGACTAGATGATGGCTTATAATTTGTAGACAACTTAAATAAAATTTAATTATGCATAGACTTTTGTTATTAAGATTAATTTTAAGATGACTCTTGAAGATTCCTATAACCATTAAAATGTCTACAGACTGCTTTATTCAGTAATTAACTTTTAGACGACTTAATGGTGTGCATTATCAAACATTGGCTCACATTATCATTATTAATTCATTGTTATTTTTATTATAATTATCTCAATAAATTGATTGTCATTATTAATCAATGTATAATTTCTATTCTTTACACATTCTACTCAATGTTTGATTTCCGACTCTTTATCAGCATCACAAAATATAATCCACTAAAATATCTCTATTATTTTCTGGTCTTTCACGCTGAAAAGAATTACTTGAAACATAAAATGAGCCTTGTTTGAAGTTCTATATGATAAATAGTTCTTAAGATATTGATTTTTTAATTATAAAACACTTTTAAGCATCTCTTTGCACACAGTTTAAGAGATCGTTGAACAAAATTGGTTAATTTTCAACCTATTACATCCCCTAAGTCTATTATCAAAGTGTATTGATTAATTAAAATTTGATGATTTAGAGATTTAGATTTCTGATTAATGCATTACTCGTTATTTTTATTTAAAAATTACTTAACTTGACTCCCCCAAATGAATACATTCTATAAAATACAGTTAAGGGGCCTCGAGCGGAAAAATATAGATATATAAAAATATATGGACTTTTGCGCACTAGTTTTAGGCAAATAAGTAGATAAAATAATAAAATATCGATAGGAAAATATTCGTGCAACAACAATCGATGAACTGAAACGAGATGAGGACGATTGGTTGAAGAATAAGCAAAATATCCGAAATTAAAAGTCAAAAGCGATTTGACAGATTTTGGTCGGCCACATGTAAACGAGTGAGAGTTAGAAATATGAAAAACAATCTGTCAAATCGCTTTTGACTTTTAATTTCGGATATTTTGCTTATTCTTTAACCAATCGTCCTCATCTCGTTTCATTTCATAGATTGTTGTTGCACGAATATTTTCCTATCGATATTTTATTATTTTATCTACTTATTTGCCTAAAACTAGTGCGCAAAAGTCCATATATTTTTCCGCTCAAGGCGCCTTAAAAGTTAAAGTTGAAATTGTTAAAAATACGTCTAGTTGTTTTTGAATAAACTTTTTTTTAAAAAAGATTATATAATTGATAAAAATACACACCTGCCATTGTATAAAAGTTGAATGCTTATCCTTCCGACGTCGATGTTTAACATTGGATCCAGGCCCAGTAGATATTATCGTAAAATTGTCAATTTTATTGTCTTCTTTGTCATTCAGACTACTACCACTCATTGACAATGCACTCTAAACAAAGTTTTCAATGAATATTCTACCTCTATCAATTGCATAATCAAGAATGTAAATACCAACCACATGAAATCCTAGATGATTAGCAAGTTTCTCTAATGCTTTGACTTTTTTATCAGGTTTGAGATCATCAAATCTCACATCTAGGACCAAGGTCATGAGTGTTTGTTTAGTTAGATCACACGAAATCTAATAAAATAGAAGAACATAAATTTTAATTATTTATTATTATTGTTAAGTTAAATATGAACATTTATTGTATACCTTTTCATCTTTGTGTTTGTCAGTTTGATATTTCTCTATCACTTGGATGGTGAACACGTCATCAGCAGCATCATTGTTAGCCATCCCGTAGGCTTTGACGCTTACATAATGTGGGCCTATGTCCTCTTTAGCTGGAACTCCCATTAGTGTAAAGGTTGCTTCATCAAACGACAGCCATCGTGGTAATGGTTTATTGTTTCTTCCACGTACCTATGACACAAACCATTTATGGTTATCCTCAATTTTAAATGATAAAGATTGTCAAATAATTCATTTGCTTATTATTATTAAATCAATGTGTTAAAAAATAAGTATCCTGTCCTATATTAAACTAAAAATTAAAACATCAACTGAACTGTAATTAATATTTTGTAGTAGGAAGTCGACATATGACAATCGAAACAACTATTTGAATTTTTTTCAAGCTTGAGACTATGATTTAAATTGGGCTCTATTTTTTTTTTTTATTCAGATATTATTTGTGAGTATTTAGATATTGATTTTAGGGTAGTTTTCTAGTCTTGGGTAAGTAGAATTAATGAATATTGTAATGAATATGTGATGGCAATAAAAAATTATTTTAATTCTCAACTTTTAGTTATAATGAGAAACAAAAAGTTTATAAATATTTTTGTGTTTAATTATTATTCATTTGCTTTTTAAATTGAAAACAATTTGTTGCATGAGCGAATCTTAACGCATTAATATTTATTGCATACGAATACATATTTACCACTCATATGATCATGGCTAGCCTATAATTTTCGGAAAAATAAAATTCCAAGATTTTTTTAAGTTAACGGTTAAATTATTCTCTATGCATTCATCAATCATCTGAATTTATTTTAAGAGAAATTGTAAATTCCGTTTTAGAGTATTTATCGATAAAATATATCACGATTTTTTTAGATTATAAGAAAAAACATTCATTTTTTGCTATACAATAAAAATTCAGCCAAAAAAAAAAATCATCAAAATCTTTTACGGAATAATTATTTTAAATAAAAAATTCTTTCATAAACAATCCATTTTCACAGTGAAAACTTACTTCATAGTGTGTAATACTTCCACCAAAAGCTTGTTTAGGAATCTTAAGTTTAAAAACATGCCCGGTAGTGGTAGTAACATCAGGAAGACTCCACAATCGTTCAACTTTATTCAAATGATGATCCTGTTTCTCATAATTGCCCACATTATCGACCGGTGTTTTATTTAACTCCAAAGCTTTATGACTAATAGGACTGGGATGAATTAAAGGCTGTTGTGCTGTAGTATCCTCCTCATCCATGTCATCAAACACCAAGTCATCGTCCTCATGTTGTAAACTTCCCAAGACCACCAAAGGTAGTAACAGCAGTAAGAAAGTCGTCAACTTGAACTGCTGTCTTGACTTGTTATCCATTTTTGGATCAGCTTGTAGCTTCCACAGTCTATCTCTGTTTCATGCTGTTTTATCTAAAACACAAAAAAAAATCATTAAAATTAAAACTGTATTCTATCATCAATATAAAAAAAAGAGATCTTTTTTTTTGTATTTTCTTTATTGATGATAGAGTCGACAAGCCTATCAGAGCTGAAAATGACGATTGTTACGATTATTATGCATGAGCGAACGGCATGAATGATGAATGGAATATTTAAACGAGTCAATCACATGATAAATAAATATTATACAGATATAGAATCTACACATATAACATATATAGCATTTCTTACAAGTTTAATTATAGTTACTCTTACTCATTGCCAAACAAAAGACAATCAAAGATCATTCAGATTGATAAATCATGCAATCATTCTTTTAAGTAACCTATAATTATACTCATTGACACACCTATTTCAGCTGGGTAATAATTGTTATTATTTTTTTTTTTTATTAAAAAAAATATTGAGTAATTTGTCTATCAGCCTTTTGAAATAATAATTATTACAGGATGCTAATATTTATTTAGTTGAAAAGATCACTAATTTTTAAAATATGACAAAGGCAAAAATCTTTTTGATAAATAGAACACTTTTGTTCTAAGCAACTTAACAAAAGTTCTGAGCACAAATTGGTAAGTAAATATTTATAAATATATCAATATAACCCAATTGCGTTATTGAAATAATGATGTTTCATTATCGCATCACAAGTGGATAGCATAGAATGGTTGGTACAATGCTATAGAGTATATATCTGGCGCAAAAACCATATGGTATTTCAATGTGATGATATAAATATAACGATGACGAGACACTCTGCTGCCTACGGATGCTTTCTATTCCTCAATGTGGTGAATTTAGAGATATTATTTTTATCTAAGTTACATAAAATAAAAGTCAACGAGATGAGAATTATAAAATATCTTGATAAATATTTGTTTTGTGATTGTGTTGAGTTATATTTCGATGAATAAAATCCACAATTTGCCATGGGTTCCACCCTGAAGTCACTGGTAAAATCACTAGATAAGATATTTCTTGGAATGAAATAAAAGGAATTAATAAAATCTTCATTATCTTTGAATATTTTGTTTAAATTTTTCTGAAAAATAACTTTACCTTAAGATAATTTTTCCAATAAAATCATCATTGTTTTTTCTGACACAAAAAGTTACATTTCCTTTAAAGAATATCAAACATCAATTGAAATTAGCATTTATATCAGTCCATTAATTATTTATTATGGTTGTAGTCACCAGATATTATCATTTTGCAGTACTATTACAGATAACACCTAAATGTGTGTGCTATACATTTGATAATTTAAATGCTCTCACTAGCATTTATAATCCTATTTATTCATCATTTCATCTTATTCCATGGTAATTAAATTATTCAACCTAAATACTATTTAACGATTGTTTAAATTCAATTTAAAAATATAATTAAATAAAAACTATATCATAACTTACCTAAATTTTTCAACCGGTATTTTAAATTAAAATTATTATTCATCTCTGTTGACAAATACATTGAGATAGTCAATAAAAACTGATAATTGAAATTGAAAAAGAAATCTCTAAAGACAAGAAAAAAAAACTTAATAATTATAAAGTCATTATTAAACAGGGCACTTGGTTACTTACAACATCAAGTCAAGCAGAAATAAATTAGCATTATCCAGCAAAGTACAATAACATTTAAGTGTCCAGCGTAGGTTGTGTGATAAATAGCAGGACTTATCATATTACATAACATTGATTTGTATATTAACCATATATACTACTGTCATACATAACAATTATCATTTAATAATGAATATTCATTTAAAGAATCCAAAGATAAAGGCTAACCACAAGCACTCCAAGATTATTAAGCAGAGCATTTGAAATGTCATGAAACAAAATGGCTGTTATTTTGATGTAAATAATAAAATAAAAAAAGGATGCAAAAAAGGGATAAAGTGCAATGTCCTCGAATTATTTAAAAGCAGCAATAAGCTACTAACAGAATTCAGTTAGTGATGGCTCCATGCCACACAACACACGGCACTGTATAACAGTATGGCGTCTAGTACAGCATCTAAAAGTGTATTTAAGAGTTTGACCCTGCTATCCGGTCATACCAATTAAATCCTACGTAACACACTCTCACTCAAAGCATTATAATTATCACTAGACTTATTTAATTTTTCTTTTTTCACACTTTAACATAAATGTGTAAACATCAAACACTCTTGTGTATTAACATTCACAATTAAATAATATACTCACTAATAATTAAATGTATTTATTCCTTCTGGGATGTTCACACTGCACTCGCCGGTTTCTTAAATCCAAATTTACTTCAACATAAATAAGAGAAAGAGCATGAGCTTATTAAAAGAGATGAACCTGCCGCTGCTGACCGAGCCTACTAACTGAGTACGATGTTACCCAGAGTTGAGCGGCTGTTTCTCACACTACTTTCTTGCTGTCTCTCTCTCTTTCTCTCTCCCAATTTTACACCCCACAGTCTGCGTGCTTTCGTCTTTTTTCCACTCTGGCGATTATTCTCTATCGTACCCTCTTCACCACCACCACCAATGCCATTACGCATCACCAGTTGAAAGCATCTCAGACACCACATACATTGATATTTATTATATATACATGTGTTATATGTTTCATACATTTATGTACGTCCATCCACACCATCTCTCTTACTCTCTCAGTGTGTATATACATTTGTGTGATACATATAGCTATATTCAACAGCTATCAAACATTTGCCTGGAGATGTTCCACCCAACCTCCCACTGATGATTTTGCAACTGGAATTTTAGTGTTAATTTAGATGTAAATATGTTCTAATTCGTGATCAGAACTATGTTGGTTATTCTTGAGAAAAGAGTATTGGATATTTACTGTGATTTTAGAGCTGAAAGAAACACGACAATCAATGATAAGTTATTTTAGGCATTTTAACCCTTAAAACACTACTATTATGATTTTAGAAAACAGTTTTAGAGGTGAACCATGGTAATTTGGAATAGTTTAGACGTTGTTTTTCAAAATAAGGATGACAATAGATAATTAATTAATTGGAGCAATAATTAAAATAAATAAGTAAAAAATTCAATTGTATATCAAGTAAGTTATAACATCACTGGAAAATAAGTCATTTTGAATCTGTTCACTGATTGAACTATAGCTTCATTCACGATGTTGGTATATACAAAATAAATTAATTTATATTTTATTTATTATAAGATAGACATTAGTCTATAATAAATTTAAGTGTTTATGAAGATAAATAGGATATAGGAGTTTATATACATATTTGGTTTGTTAAACATTTATGGTGTTGGCGAGGTTTGCCAAATGTTTTTGCTTAGATAAGACATAGGAAATTCTTTGTGTTATGCACTTCTTTCTATTGGCTCCTTAGTTTTTAAGTTAGTCGTCTACCGGATTTGTGTCTACTAGAAGGTCCAATGAAATTATCTTTCAAATATATGCTTTTTGTTATAATAATATTAAATTGATCCTTTCCCATTATCCTATTTGTTCAATATTACAATACACGGGAGATTAATCAAAATATGTGGATCAGCGGAATAATTGATTTTTAAATTTAAAACAAAATATGACGCAGCTGGTTTTTTTTGGCTGGGAATCAGTCCATTAAATTCAGCGCATTTTTTTCTACAAATTGAGCCTAGTCTTAACTTGTACCACGAAATTTCATATTTAAAATGCACATTGATTGGACTACTAACGACGTTTGGTTTGTAGTCATAATTCATGATGTCGAGCATACCGATATTTGATTGATTATCACTATGCAGGATACAGTGAACATAATAATTCCTGAAAATAGCCTTACAAGTAAATAATTGTTATTTATCATGATAAAAGAAAACCAGATGTTATAATAATGAAGACAGCAATAGATAACAAGTGGCATTTGGAGCAGTAAAATAATGAAGAAATGACTCATAACTGAGAAACAATGGAGTACATTTTTTCCAGGTATTTTTTTTCTTTGTTACTATTATTTATTTCAAACTATAATTCATTAATTTTTTTTGTCATAATTTATTGAAAATTATCTCTAGGAATTGATATTTTATTTTTAAATCAGTAGCAGAAATTCTGTTTTAACTCATGCCAAGAAGAATTAGAAATTTAAACTTGGACAAAATAAACTAAACTGCCCACATCATAGTCACACTGTACATACCATCTTTTATGTTTTGTATAGAAAGATATATTTCTATATTTAGCCTTACTGAAACTTAATACAATTATGAAGATAGAAATACTATCAAGTTTACTGGTAAATGACCTTTTTTCTTAACAATTGAAATTAATTTATAACTCAGAATTATTTTTTTTTCTTTCATTAAAACCAATAAATATCAGTATTATTAAAACTAAATAATCTTTTATTAGATATGAAGGAGTTAAAAATGAAATGAAAAAAAAGAAGATATTTTTATTAGACCATGTGTGATAAATTGTGCTAATAACGAACGATTCATTATCGTTAAGTTGGTTCAGGGCAGTTCACATCAGCGATGACGTCATGATCCGCAGAAATTAGTTGGTAGGCGAAATTATCCACAATATTCATCAAGATTTCTCAACTTACTCTTTTGCCTGGGATTCTCAGTTACTTGTGATGTTGGTGAGGCTAAATGTTTATGAGTGAAACAGATGTGCCTTAGATAGCGTGGCTCCTACACTTAACCCCTACATCTTTCATTTCTTTTACTTTATTTATACGCATCAAAAGACTTTAATGAATATCTGTAAACACGCAAAACATTATAAACAATTATATTTAATTTTTACCAAAGTTCTGAGCAAATGTTATACTCTGATATTAACGTCAGTCATTGGGTCGTAAAAAATCGATGTGTAATAAAATAACATTGGTTGGAGATATAAAGAGAATAATTAGGTATTTAATAGTTTTGTCACGCACACTGTACACACATCCTGTCCCGTCAAGTATCTATTTACATATACGGAAGGACAATACACTTGGTATTAGCTGATGCTTTATCCGGTCTGCCTCTTCCAATTGGATCGTATTTTTTATTCACGAGTTGTTATTTAACATCGTCTGGCTTCGGTATGTAAAATCTCATTAAAAAAAAAAATATTTCAATTAAAAATAAATAATTTAAATGAATTAAATATTTATAGCATTCATCAACATTTTTTGCGTGTCTTTTTCATACCACAGGCATCAAGTCTACAAATAATGAGAAGTGGAGGAGGAAGAAGCTACCCTAATGTTTTTTCGAAAAATTATTACTGAAGTATAAGGTAAAAATGAGCCAGACGTATATTGGCTTCTAGCAGAAACGTTGAAGGGCCCGCCAATCAGATTAATATACGAAATGTTTTGAGAAAGCAACCAAAGGATTGTAATGCAATATTGATGATAAGAGTAAAATTAAGCTGTATGTTGGAATAGGTTGGACGGAAGAGTATATATTTTTGTAAGAAAATGGATGTTTCGGTGGGCAAGGAGTGTACATATACGAAAAGAATTTTTTCACTGCTCAGAAGTAAAAACAATGCACTGTAAATCTCCGTTTTCTAAAATGTATTATTTTAATGCGGAAAAGTGTGTTAAATATAACGTCACCCATTTGATTAACATTGTAGTCACTTTTAACGCACATCTAAGTGTGTAAAAAGTGACTACAATGTCAATCAAATGGGTGACATCATATTTAACACACTTATCCGCATTAAAATAATGCATCTTGGAAAACTGGGATTTACAGTATGAAAAGTACATGATTCGACATTTAGAAGTAAAATGTGTGTACATAAAAGTAAATTTTGACTTAGTATAAGTGAAATTCACTTCTGGATACACACATTTTTACTTCTAAACGTCGAATCGTGTATTTCTCATTGTTTTTACTTCCGAGCAGTGAAAAATTATCTCCGTATAGATAGTCTTGTAAAAAGAGTATTGTACAATTCTGGAATAAAATCTAATCTCATCTGTTACTGACATATGGTAATATAACAGCATGTTAAAACAATTAGAATGCATTCTAATTGTTTTAATTCTTTAGAATAAACAAAAATTTATTTGATTAAAAAAAATGTCATTTTAAATATTGATTTTACAAAGTTAATAATTCTTTTCTAATACTAGTTTCTTTGATCATTTGAGAATAAAGATAATTTCATGATGAATACAATTTTTTATAGGTCTAAAATTTGTTAAAAAAAAATTTCATCTTGCTTACAAACTTGGTCATTAAGCTCCACATGTCTATTTGATGCTGATATTCATTGCAAGAAGTAAAACTCATAAAGAGATATTTTTATCTTCTGAAATAATAAACTTACTTACTGTTAAAAATTCCCATCTACCAACCGTTCAGTGTTGCATCTTATTGTTACCATGGTTAAATCGATTGCTCTAGTCTATCATCAAAACACTGTACAGTATTTAACATTTGTTGATATTAAAATAAAAATACTTATTCTCTACCAAATAAAATTTTTATTGGTATCTTTAACATGACCTTGGTTCTTAATCGTGTTGATTACACAACTGTTGGTGTAACTTCTCGAGGAACGATGAAAATATTACCATCGAGTGACCCAAAAGCGACCCAGAAATTCGCTGTTGGTGACAATGATGGAATTATTTATATTTTTAGTAAGTTTTATAACTTAATATCTTCTTGTAAAAAAAGTCAATTGAGACAAATTATAGTAATTTCAATTTAAAACTGATCTCTTTTCTGTTCAGGCATGAAGAAAAATGAACTCCAGTTGGTGTTTAAATCACTTCCAAGTTATAAAATAGAAAAAATAGTTCTGGGTGGTGGTACCAGTAACTCCAATGATGTACCAAAGGACAGAATATTCGTGGCATATAACAATTCTGTAAAAGGATACACTAAAAAAGGGAAACCTTTTTTGGAATTCGATACCAACCTTATGGACACTATTTCTGCCATGTAAGAATTATTTTCCTAAAGATGCTTAGAATATTTGATGTGACTACTCTTAAGGAAAATCATCTTTCTTAAATTTGATTAAAATGTAGTGAAGTCCAGCTTTTTCAGAACAAAAGTTTGGAAGCTAGGAAATTTACAATTGCTCAAATCTGATTAAATCTGCACAATTTTTCTGCAATTCACTACAAAAAAAGTTCCCTAGAACTCATCAAGTTTGATTAGATTAATTTTTCTTATCAGATCAGATTTAAAAATGAGTTTAAAATAGGAAACTAAAACTCAACTTAAATATTTATCAACGATTACTATGTAGGGAAATAATTCATCTTTTGTTTTGTTAAAAAACAATACGATCAATAGTTAGATCTATCATCTAATTTATTTTCAAAGTTATTCGTAAATAATTAGTCCTTGTCAAACCATTGCAAATTTTATTTTACCATATCTGTGTACACATCCAGAAACAAATAATACACTGTGTAACTTACACATTATACCATTGCCAACTATCCCATACACTTATAATTACTTATTCATTCAATCATCACACTGACTTGAAACTATTTTGCAACATAATTAAAAATCTTTGGTTGCTCTTTCAAAATTCCTAACTAGTGTGCAAATGTATTTATTAGGTGGACCATTGAGTTCCTGCGCTTGGAGCCAGTACACATCTGGTTCGTTTGATCCATCAATCCACTTATCAATTTCTACATTCACACGTGAGCTGACTAGTTTTCTTGCTTCTCTACACACAAAAATGTGCTCCAAACTCTCATAATTATTCCCACATAGCCTACACAACGATGATCTCTATCCATTCTTGCCCCCTATCGTGCAACAATTACATCAGTCCAGTCAATGTACAGCAGAAAACAGGGTTAATAAAAAATTTCGTGGCACAAGTCAAGACTGGGCTCATTTTGTAGAAAAAAATGCGCTGAATTTAATCGATTAATTCCAAGCCAAAAAAACCAGCCTCGTCATATTTTTCTTTTGATTTAAAAATCAATTATTCCGCTGAATCCACATATTTTAATGAATATCTCGTGAATGAAGCCGAAATCGCCAATATTTTACTGGAAAAATAATCTTAATCGAGACCATGTCTCCTTTAACCAACCACCACTGGTGTCTGAGTCGTCTTATAGATTCTACTAAATTTTGAGTTTAAGATCTTTGTGTTGTCTTCTTTGGCTTCAATCTCTCTAATAAAAGAAATTAAATATATTTATTTTAATTTTACTATTTTCTATAACGATTGGACTATAAGGTTCGTTTTAGGAGGAGACTTAGCAGTGTGTGCTCGTGATGTTTACCATCGTTACCAGAACTGCAAAGACGCAGACTCTCTGCTCGTTGGAGAAACCTTAAATGACGTCATTCTTTTGCCTAGTGGGGACAGTGCGGGTTCAGTAACTGCAATTTTAGCCTGTGGAGATCGTGCAGTATGTATTAAAATTAACCAATTATTTGGATTTCTCTTGTTTAAAAAATAAAATGTATTTGAATTTTTAGATTCGCATCTTGACCAGTAGAAAAAGTCCAACAGTTTTGAGGCTCTCTAGTATACCGACAGTGTTTTCTTCTTTCAAAGAACATGACCGTGAGTTGTACGATCGAGTATTGCTTGGTACTCAAGATGGAAAAGTTGGCCTTTTACTTCTTCCCGGCAGCAAAACCGTCCGAAACATCTGGTTGTTGAACACTTATGGATCAGAAATCACTTGTCTTGATACCTATGATCTAGATGGTTCAGGAGTTGATATTATTGTTGGGAGACTTGACGGATCTGTTGAAGTCTTTAATTTCTCTGGGCTTGATGAAATCCTGACCCCTTTACTGAGATTTAAATATGTATGGATCCATTCCCGATATTAAATTAAATAAATCTCCAAGATTTTATGGTTAGTTAATGAGTAAACTTTTCAATAGGTTGCTGGAGAAAGCATTACTTCAGTTGGCGGTGGTGTCATTGGTACTCCAGAGTACAAAGAAGTTCTAGTCACGACGTATTCTGGAAAAATATTCGGATTAACCACCAAACCTCCAGGAGCTCTAGAAGCTGGTGTTGCTTCCAATGAACCAGAGACGATACGTCGACTAGAGGCTGAGATCCGTGAACTAGAACAGAAGTATCAAGAACAAAGTGAATATGGAGGTTTCCTTATGAGTGCAGATCCTTTTCTATCACCGTCAATATTATGCGTCAATCACAGGTTATGGTCCAATAACAAAGGATTGGCAACCTTTGATCATTTTTCTCCGCGAGTAGATAAAAACATGTGGACTAGTGCTAAGTTATTTCGAAAAATTCAAAGGTTGCTCACTTTTACTATAATTAATTAATAATTATAACATCTTAGCATCAAAGTTGCAATATTGAAAGATCACATTGTCCCATATATTCTTATAGAGACTTATACACCGCTTCTCGTTCATTCTGGTAAGACTGAATCGTAAAATTGAAATATATTATTTTCCTATTTGTTCTTATAGTATCTCATACGATGCTTCTTAATGATTTTCATTGAAATTGACGATAAATTAAAAAATATTATTTTCCTATTCGTTCTCGGTAGGATGTATAGGATTGTCCTATCCATTCTCTATCATTCTTGTATCATAGTTTCAAATTTTTGTTCCACCTGTAAGTTCTGGTCCGTTCTTATAATTTTTTTATGAGAACCGCGCTACTTTCCGATAGAACTTATTAATTCTCATAAAATGTTTATGGATTTCAATAGTATTCTGACGGATTCTATTAGATTGTTTTATCAGAGATGATAGAGAAAAGAGAATAATTGTAAACACTTGACATTACTACCATTCTTGCGAATTGCATTCTAATTATAATAATAATAAACTTTATTGGCATCGAAACTTTAAAGTTCCATGCAGCCGACATTCTAATTATAACAGTTGAAAGAAATAATTAAAACATATATATCATTTCTGTCTTCTATTATTGATTCTTATTTGACAACACATAACATTTATCAAAGAAATTCACCATCATTAGTCTAAATGTTTTTTTTATTTCTTCAACAGAATGACACTAAATCGAGACACTGCGACTTACTTGCTATCAATTGAATTGGACTCTCCAATTGATTTTATATTGATTCAATCGAACACTCCAGTCGAGTTGATAGATGACAATAACAATGCCGTTTTAAGTTTCTCAGAGGTCAATCCTGCTAAAGATGGGAATTATGTACTAGCTACGTACAGATGTCAAGTCAATACCAATCAACTCGAGACAAAGATCAAAACTATTGAGGGACACTCTGGTCTGCTTCAAATATATGTCACATGTCAGGTATGTTAATGATGAATTTTCTAACTAAAACTTAAGCACAAGGTTCAATAAATGTTAGATTTTTTATAAAAAAATTTAAGAATAAATCAATTAATGAACTATTGTTGGTTTTAGATTCAACCCAAATGTTGCAGAGTAGTTAAAATTCCTATCTTAGCACTATCACTTCATATTAGAGTACATGAAGACGATGAAGAGGATATGAAGAAATATTTCTCTTCCTCTGGTCCCTACAATGAACTGAAACTCGTAGGGAACTTTACTGTTGCTGAGGTATTATTCATAGCATTACATTATTTCAAAACATCCAACTCTTCATTATCAAATTTAAAATTGAATCTTAAATTGTCTTCAGTCAAATTTTAATTAGCTGTTGTTAATTATTCAATCTAATTCTAAATCTCCATTTGCTTCTTTTAAGAGTGAGACTCGCATTAATTATTTAAAATAAATTTATTCCGCTTCTTTATTTCTTCTTACAATATTTCAACCTTAATTGTAGCACATACATTTTTAAAACTTTATTCGTTTGATTTTTAGATCCACGCTTGGTTATCGCTTGCTCTACCAGAGCTATCAGAGAGACCCACTTTAAATGACAACGAAGTTAAGTTAAATTATGTATCAACGCGTATTGGATCAACCCTTAGATGTCAATATAAGTGAGATAGTGCTTTTTATTCAAGGAGACTGGGGCCAGCTGTGACAAGGGTAGGTTGTTACAGAGGGCAACGATGTAATAGCAAACGTTGCTGCTGTAACAACCTACCAGTGTCACAACCGGTCCCAGTCTCCCTTATAGACTTTGATAGTTTTAAATAACTAGTCTGTTGTTGATTTTCATTAGAAAAGGAACTGCTGTTTTCTCAAGTGAAAATGTATCAACAATACTGATCTTGCGAGACTTGATGACTAAGGAAGCTACCAAACGGAAAATCAAGCTTGATGTGTTCTGCAGTAAGTACTTGAATGACATTTGAATAAAACATGGAATAGATTTGATGACTTGTAAATTATCAGACTATTTTCAAGTTATCAAGTATTTAATTGAGCATTTTTTTCACACAAAACTATTTGACTTTTATTAAAAATACCTGGATATTAGAAGAAAACCATAGGGTCTGAAAGATTGATGTGACCTAATATAGCTGAAACGATTGTCACAAAACCAATAAGAAAATAAGTCAAATAACATTATATCTGTATTAAAGTAAATTTAAAGCAATTTAAGAATTATTTAGGCTCTATTAAGTCTGATTATAATTTTCTTGAAAAGATAAATATTTAAAATTAAGGCTCCAACGATAACAACTATCAGACGACTTTGCGACTTACACAGACGAAAAAATTCACTGCTGGGATTGGAGATTGAACCAAACTTTCCAGCTGCCTCGTAGGTTCTCTGCCACTTAAGTTATCTTAAATCCGTAAACATTTCTCTATTTTTCGTACTTGCACTCATCTTAACATCACTCCCTTTACTCTATTATCATTGTATGTTAGCGAACCTTCCATGGGTAAATAAGCTGGAGCTCCATTTCTGTAAATGTACCGAATATTCTGATCATTTCAAGTTGAAAGCATTTCTTCTATGAATAATTCTCTGATAATTTTCTAGCTGTTGATGATGGAGCAATGAAAAAAATGCTAGAAAAAATATTTCCTCAATTAAAAAATGCTCACGAGTTGCAAGAAAACGTCCAGATAATAAATGCTTTACATGATTGGGACATGATTGATAATCCAGAAGAAACCTTGGGAACTCATTTCCAGAAGTTGTTGAAAGATGAAGAAGATCTTAAGAGAAAGTATGATAAAAATCCTAAGGCCCTTCAAGAGATCCAGACAATTATTACTGAGTTGTATGTCGATTGGAAACGTGCTAAAGGCTCTCATCAGAGGTAAAGATGATGATAAACATTTTCTCTGTGATTACAAATATTAGTATGTTTGAATGAATTCAAGTCATCTTGAGTTTATGTCAGAGTTAATATTTTTTTCTAGAAAATAATCACAAATATTAATATTTATTTAAATTTTATATAATTTCCTAAAAGAAAAACGAAAATGCTGCTTAGCTTTGATAAAAGAATATATAAATATTTTGTTTAAGATTGACCAGTGAAATGGCAAAGGAAGATTTAAATAATGCAATGGAGTCGGGTGAGTTTTCAGTTTTACTTGAATTATTTATGAAAAATGATTCTAATTCTCCGGATCGTTCACCACCATCATCACCTACAAAGCCAACATCACAAGATGATGCAACAGAAAGCTAAAAAAATTAATAAATTTATGAATTTTTAGATTAAATGATTAAAATAATGCAATTATTTGTGATTTTTTGTATATCTTTCTCTATTAATTATTTTTGTTGTTTTTTTTTTATAAAAAAATGCAAATTTATCATTAGTAGCACTTACAATTTCTTCATCAATGTCTTCTGATAATGCGAGTATTACTTAATTGCAATAAATATTTACACATATAATGTAAATGATAAAAAAAAAACTAAATGAATTATTGTGCCTGCCAACTTTGTGAATGAATAGTTATTTTTTTTTTACATAAAATAATTTTATAACTATGTAACTCACGGCAGGTGAAATTTTTAATTTTAATTTAAATAAAACGAATAATAATAATTATTCAATTTATAATGAATTATGCATTTATTATTCGTTTAAAAAATGATTGCCTCTGTGACTATGTATTTCGTTGTCACCCAAATATATGTATATAAATGTATTTATATACCAAAAATGATGAAATAATATTTTTAGTCTCTCTTGGCACACTCAATCTTGTTACTCTTCTTTATCTTATCGTACATGAGTGTCTCTTGTATTGTGATACCAATTTGCGTAATTTACATAAAAAAATACTGCCTGTAATTCAGAAAAATTTCCATTAGTTTTTGAAGAATATGAAAAAACCAATGTCTTTATTTAAAAATAATATAACAATAGAAAAAGTAGGAAATTATTCTTATTATAATTTTAATTAATGAAGATGATTTTAAACAGTATTTTTCTTAATAATCCAGTCAATATGCTTTAAAAAATAGCCCAATTTGAAAGTCCGCTGAACATTAACCGATTTTGTTCATTAGGTTGTTTTTAGTGATGGCAGACATCAGTATGAATTTGTGACCACATAGCAAAATGTGCTTTTTTGTTTATAAAAAAATAGCTTTTCTTTTTTTTTTCCCCTTTAGTCTGCCCCGCCGCCCCTGCACTTAGCCACGGGGCCATTGTACTGGGTCCAAACTTATGGTAAAGGCGGTCTTAGGTGGGTTGGTACAGCCCGGCCTCGTAGCAAAATTGCAGAAGCCTGTCCGTCCCGACCGTCTCGAGAATGGGTGCGTCGGTCCCAAGGTTCCCTAACAGGCGCTGCCTGGGTTCCCTTAGCCCCGAGCATTCCCTTATCATGTGGAGAGGCGTCTCTTCTTCCTTACCACACCACCGGCACGCGGATTCCTCTCCGCGTCCCAGCATCTTCATATGGCGTCGAGTTAGCCAGTGCCCTGTGACGGTGCCCACGGCCACTCTTAGCCTTCTTTTATCCAGTTCGATCAGGTCCCTACTCACTTGAGTTGTGGGTTTCCTGATGAACGCTCTGGTGTGCCTCATCCCCGAGGTCTCCGCCCAGTAGCTGGTGAATCTTTTGTGCAGCCACTTGTCCCCCAGCGCCTTCACAAGTTCCCCGGGAGCGTTTATCTCCACTGGGCCCCTGTCACCTCCGCCGCTGGCGCCAATACGGGCCAGCCTGTCAGCTTCGGTGTTGCCGCGTATACCGCAGTGACTTGGTACCTTTAGCAGCTTCAGTTTGTTGCGGCATGCCGCTTGTTTTAGTACCCTTCTGCAGTGGTCCACGAGTTTTGAACAGGTAGCCACTTGCGAAAGAGCCGTTAAGGCAGCATAGCTGTCACTGCAGATATAGATATGCTGCCCAGTGCAATCTCTTCTGGTGATATGCATAGCGCATAACAGGATTGCGTACACCTCTGCCTGGAACACGGAAGCGTCCTGGCCCAGGGTGTAGGATTCCTCCACCCGTGGTCCCCCGCACCAGATTCCGGCTCCGGCCTCTTAAACTTCGCAAAAAATAGCTTTTTTGGGATTAAATATCTTGAAAAAAACGCACTTGCATTATGGCAAACTCTATCAAATTTGCATATTTTTTTTTTATCTTGAAAGGTAATGACAATAAATCAATGCCAAGTTGGTTTACATATTTGGCATAAATATAGCTTCCGATAAAAAAAAAAAAACTTCAAAAAGTTCATTTGTTGATGAGTTACGATCAATTGTTTAAAAAACAGTGGTACTTTTGACATAAACAATTAAATATTTCAAGAACCGTTAGTCGTAGAGAGTTGAGACTGGTCTCATTGTTTTTCGCGTGAAGATCTCAAAAATTATACGCATTATGTCTCGATCTCTAATGCGTTTTTTTCAAGATATTTAATACCAAAAAAGCTATTTTTTTATAAACAAAAAAGCACATTTTGCCATGTGGTCACAAATTCATACTGATGTCTGCCATTACTAAAAACAACCTAATGAACAAAATCGGTTAATGTTCAACGGACTTTCATTTTGAAAAGCATATTGACTGGACTATAACACTGATTTTGATCTGAGCATCATAAATTTGTGATTAAAAATTCATGGCTATACCTTACATATTTATTTATAAACATTTTTACTCTTTTCATGCTTTCAGTCTTAATTTTTGTGCATGTAGAAATGCTTTTCATGCCAAAAGTGGTTTTACATCCGGGTTGGTAAATACCTTATGAGCTTTAAAACATTCTTTTGCAATCATAAAAAAATATTAAAATTAGTAGGGGAATAATTCTACTTTTTCTTTGTTTCTCTGATATTTTTATTACATACTTACAAAGAATCAGATGTCCTGTCAACAGACTCCAACGGATCACGATCTACACCAGTAGCAACAACAACATCTTGATTATTAGAATTAGTGATGGTGATGACATTGCTATATTCTATTCTCTGAGAACAAACACCTTCATGAGGTAAAATAGCTTCAGGATCATCATCAGGTGGTACGATTTCTACGACACTATTTGGTGATTCTAATTTGAGCTCCTGAACTAAATCTTGAATCAAAGATCTTGAATGAACCTGTCGCTTGTCCTGACTATTACTACCATTATCATCATTGTTTATCATCATCTTACAGTTGGTTATGCGATCATCAATTGGTCCTCGATTTGTTCCACCATTGTTGCCTGTATTAGCACCATTTCCACGATTATTAGCTGCACCTCCATTGACACCACCTCCTCCAGCTCTTGTATGAGTGTGCATATGTCGCTTCATGTCACTACGAACTCGGAATGGTTTTCCACATACTGTACACGGGTGCGGCTTTTCACCGGTATGGATACGACGATGATTTTGAAGATAACTACTTGCCCGAAATGTTTTATTACAATACTCACAACGATAATTTTTCTCTCCAGTATGTATACGTCGGTGAACTATTAATGAATATTTACGAGCAAAATCTTTACCACAATATTCACATTGAAATTGTCGTTGTTCGGAATGAATACTCATTGAATGGTACTTGAGATCACCCCATTGTCGAAAATGTCGACCACAGTCTTCGCATTTGTATGGCTTGTCACCACTATGAAGACGTTTATGGACCTAAAATAAATTACATTAAATTATTTCACTTATTTTATTATATTTTAAATATAAAATTGTTTATATTTAAACATAGCAGGAGGGGAGGGGGGTGTTAAAAAGCTGGTCTAAAATTTTTAACAGCCCTCCCCCCACTCCACCTTCAATCCTTTCCAACATCAAGTATTTACAAAATACTAACTATTCAAGATAGTGTACATTTCCCAATTTTTAAACCTTAAAAACTGTGTGAAGTAATGTTTTCCGCGCGCAACATATATATATATTCTTTTTCAGCATAAAAAACTGTATAACATACTAAAATTTTAAGAAAATTGGGCGTATGCAACCTAAACTAAATAATTACCAAACAATTTATCTTTTATAAATTTAGAAATATTTCTTCTAAATTTTTTCTAAATGTATTCTAAAATTGTAATGTATTTAAAATAAATTAATAATCATAATTTTACTCGAAACTCTGTAATAAAAGAGACACAAAGTATATTTTTTAATTTTTTTTCGTGTCATTCAAAGCGATAAAAAGTTACTTAATCAATATACAGAGCATTAGTGTATATATTTAATGAATATTAATTTTATTTTTAAGGGCCTAAGGTATTTTTAAGATTATTCTTCTCCTCTAAGTTACATAAACAATTGAAATATCAAACTTTAATTAAAGCTTTTTAATGAAATGAGAACATTTGTTAATTTTTTTTTAAATTCTAAAACAATGGCTAAAATTTTTCTATGATTTGGACGTTACTTTAAAGTCTATCAATTGTTAAACTCACCTTTAATGCACTTGCAGCAAAGAAACTCTTTCCACAAATTTCACACTGATGTGGTCGTTCACCACTATGAGATCTCATGTGATAAACAAGGCTATTTTTATGATGAAATGATCTATCACATTGTGGACAAGTTATTTCATCATCTAGAAATAATTCATCAAGTCCAATTAATGAAACATTAATTAAAACTTATAAATTAAAAGCTCATTTTTAAAATAAAATATCCGAAACTTACTTGGTGTTTTCCGAACCTTAGGAGTTTTCTTTTTCTTTCCATTATTACTACAATCAACATCAAACTTATTTGGTGGTAAACTTTGCTCATTGATAACTCTCAATGATGATAATGTTCCATTAGAATTTTGACTGATGGAATTGATTAAACTACCTTTTGCTTCTCCTGGTGACACAATAGTAGTTTTAATAAAATTATTCGAAAGATTATTAGCAGAACTATTCGTTGTCGAAGTTGTTGTTATTGATGATCCTATAGTTGTGGTAGTTGTTGTTGATGTTGTTGGAGCTGTTGATATAGACCATAAATTGGTGTCATTATGAACACTTGTTGTTAAAGTATTCGTTTCTGTATCATCATCAATATGTGCTCCAGTTTCTTCAACTGTTAAATGAAAATTAATAGCATTCTATTAAACATCTATACTATCTGAAAAAAACAAATAATAAAAAAAGTTTAGTTCATTACCAACACCACGAATTCCTTCCATTAAATCTTCAGGCTCACTAAACTCTTCGATAACATTATCCAGATTCTGAACTGTTTGTGACATTGAAATAGTGATGTTTGTATCACAAGTTGTCTGTGCTGTTCTCGTTTCCTGTTTAACTGGCTCATAGTGATTCTAAAAAAGTTAAAAATATTTTTTTACTACATTTTCCAATTCTAAAATATCATCTAAATCTCACCTTTAGATGTTCAAAAAACTTCAACTGTCCATCAAATTCATCACAACATAATTCACATTTAAACACCTGTCGATGAAGAATCTCATTACCATTATCCAACATGATAACATCCTGATTATTTTTTCCAACATCTTTTTTAATAATATTTTTCTTATTATTATTGTTATTATTCTGTTGTTTTAATTTCCTAGCAATGCGTTTCTTATGTGGTAATGATCGTTTAGGTCCTTGAGCAGTAGGAGTTGACGTTGATATTGTCGTTGCCGTTGTTATTGTTGATGTTGGTGTACTAATAATATCTTCACCACTATCATCATCAGCAGAGACATCGATATTATATTCACTTTTTACATCAATAAACTCCTGCTTAACGTTATGACTAATTCTCTTAACATACGACGGCTGTAAATTCGAAGAATATGAGTGTCTAGGTGGTGACGATGGAGGCTGAGGTGTTGTCCCTACTGGCTGCGGTGATGGTTCTGATTCAGGAATTGCTTGAATAGAGTAAGTATTAACTGGAGATAATGATGTCAATTGACTGACATCTGATAGAGTTGGATCTCCATTGTGAGGTTGTTGTTGGCCTGTGTTATTATGCCCCAACTGTTGATGGTGGTGGTGATGATGATGGTGATGGTGATGGTGATGATGCTTTTGCTGTTGTTGAAATTGGACTGCTACCAAAGCAGCTGCTAGTTTGCGGTCGTCCTGGAGAAAATAAGTAAAACAAATTTAGGAAACGGTTTTTGGAACTTTGAAGTTAAAATTAGAGTCAGGACTAAAATGACAACTAGTCTTAACTGACTTCAATAAAGAAAGATTTTCTCAAGTCTAGCAATCATCATTTCAAGCCTTATCTTATCATGCATGCATTTGAGAGTAAAAATAAAAATTGTCATTTTCATTCATGATTCATTTTCAATCAATCAAATCTTGAGTTTGATTATTCTTTGTTAATGTCAACTTAAAACAAGAGACTTCTTGGCTTCCTTTCCTATCTATCTGACAAAACAAAACCTAAGTACTTATTGTCAATTGTTAAGGATTTAAATTTGAAATAAATGAATTTGTTTATTGAAGTAATATTGCTATAGTCTTTGTAAAAAAAAATAATATAAATTTTTTCAATCAATCATAGAATTAAAATCTCCAACACCAGGATGGACCATTCAGGTTCTTCTGGCCTAACTGGGAGGTATTTCATTAGACTTTTTTCATCGAATTCTTCACATACAGTCAAAGCATACTTGTCCTGCTCAACACATGGCCAACACATTGCCTGTTTATTGTCCAACCTTAAAACATTATCATGTGTTTTACTCTAGGCCCAACAACAGACAACTTTTGTTCTTTTTTTCCCGAATAGTCCACAAGTTTGTGTAAAAAAAGCATCAAAGCATTTTATAAACTAGGAATTAATCTCGAGTATTAAGGACTTGTTTATCATCTTTATTCAACTCAAAATTTAAAGATTTTTTTTTCTAATTTGTTCTTCAAGTGTTTGTTTATTTTTTAAGTTGGATTGTAAACTCACCTCTGTCAATTCATGAGGCAGTAGATCATCAGTTTCATAATATTGATTAGCAGAATTGAACTCAGAAGCCACATTAGCAGCATTTATCATGTCTACAACCATTCCTTCTGATATTAATTCCCCACTTAATGTCAAAAGAGGTACTTTACTCAAAGAATCACTATTATCAGTCCGTTGGATAGTGATATATTGATGATGATCATCATCATTAATGCTTTCAAGGAGTACTGCTGCTTGAGCATCTTCATCAGTCGTTATTTCCATCATTGTTAATTTTTCTAATGTTTTTAAATCAAAAATAATAAAATTCACGACACTTTGGATTATTTTTAATTAATTGGTTATCTTAATTATGACATATATTTATAATATATGTGAATATCTAATAATGTACACATATATACATAAGTGATTATTTGATCATTTAAATGATATTAATTAATTTCATAATTGCACTAACTGAAATTTTATATTAAATTTAAAATCACCGCCAAATTAAAAACAACTGTGGGGTAGCGGTATTGTCAATGACAGCGCACTGCCAAGGTCATTGTTTGTATGTACTTGTATATTGTTGCCAAGCTACTCTTTCTTTAACACTGAATAAAATCTTCAAGTTATTTTAACACTTGTTTTTTTATCCATTTCATAATTATTTTAATCTTTATTGCCAATTTTATTATTATTAAATTTTATTAATTATAATTTAATAATGCTTATTTAATGATGATTGTAAACAAATAGAAATATTGAAACACTGTACAACTAAATATGACAACAGTGCTTAGTGATGGACGCCATTATAAACCGGATGTCTCTTACTAGTTCCTTAATTGACAAAATTCTCGGATTTGCCTTAGCCTACCATCTTACGGACACGAGTTCTACTTTACCCGCTAAAATTTCAATTCAAAATTTTTACATTTAAGGTAGTTCACTCGAAATTAATGTTTTCTTAGGATTTTCTTTTACTACATTAGAATTAACGATTATTAGAAAATAAAACGTTTATTTTAATAAAAAAATCAATTCACCTTTTAGAACTCGAGTTATTTGAAATCAAAGTTCACTCTTCTCTCCATTTAAACCAATGACGTAGTCAATCTACAAGATTAGGTTTTTTATTTTCATTTAAAAACGGTTCTTTCAATTTTCGTAAAAAAATTATGTAATGTAAATGCATTTATAACAAATATTCTGTCAACACAAAATTAAGTTTTATCGTAACATTCCTAAAAGAATAAGTTATTATTAATAATTTTAGTTTAAACTCTCATAAAAAATACGCATTAACCTTCTTTTTTGAATCTTTTTTTGTTTTTTGGAATGATAGAAGACAAATTAACGAAGATGCAGAAAGCTAGTGTGTATACTTCATAAAAAAAATTAATTTATTTCGAAGGGTCCTGGGTCTTTTTTTTTTGATACGGCCCGTAACAAGTAAACTACCTTAACATTTTTTCGAATTAATTTAGAAGTAAATAATTAGATTGTTAACTAAAAACTTCATATTAATTCAAATTTTTCGAAAATTAATCATTAAAAAACCCTAGTATGCAGTAAAATTTGTTGAAGATTTGAATTCGAAATAAATTTATTTATTAAATATTGTTTATTAATTAATTAATAAACAAGTATTATCTTAATTATTAAAAAAATAGAGTTCTTTCCAATCATAAAACTCGAATTCTCAACCCTACGGTCTCAAAAGATAATAAATTAAAATATAATTATTATCAAATGACAAATTTATCATTTTATATTAGTTTAATTTATTTAATAATATTATAATATATAACAACACACATGATTAATTACTACAATCCTGAATAATTACATTTGTTTGTTTTTTTTTCGTATACTGAATGATATAAAACTATGAAAATTCTTACAATAAATATCACAAATATTAATATTTCACTCCTATTCATGATCAATATAAAGCCTTAATTCTTCGACTGTTTTTTCCTAAATATTTTATTACTTCTCAATTATTCTTGGATATTTCATTAAAATTTAGTACTTATGTACACAAAAAATATTTGGTATATTCATTGAAATAAAAATTAAAATTTCCTTAGCATTTAATGATATAAAAAATATGACTTCATTACGTATTGACGTAATTACTTTTACTCTCTGTACTGTAATAAGTATCTATGGTATTTTCGTTGATCGTAGACTCTGTTGATGGCTGACGTTGATATAAATGATCACCTCGAGTACCAGAATCACTATTATTATTATATCCTGACGATGATGTGGAAGAGGAAAGACAAGTAGCTTGACTTGACGTTGGTAATGACGATGAACCTTTAATAATGGTTGCCGTATATTGAATTTGATCTGGCAAAAGTGATGTTCTTTCTGTCGCACTTGCCCAAGTATCATGCTCGTAATGACTATGATCATAATTATTTCGTCCACGTATCCTACGACTCAATGACGATCCAACAACACCTAAATGTTCTTTAATGTCATTATGAACATCTGATACGTCCCACATCGCTCTGAAAAAAAAATGTTAACATTTCAATTTTATATTCCAGTTATAAAATGATAATGTTATTTTTGGAGTATTGTTTGATGCTCGAACCTAAATGCATCCCACCAAGCTTGAGTTTGAGATAGATTTACGTATGATTTGTAACTAAAACTGTAGTGATGAGCTATCGCTGCTAAGAACATTTCAATGCAGATCAAGAAATCTTGAAGTTTCGAAGCTATATGCCGGACATCATCGGTGTTATTGGCATCAAAAATACTAGATATGATGCCAAAATATGCAAGTATCGTTATTATAACTCCTTGGCTGAAATAAAATAAAGATTAATTTATTGTATGGAAAATAAGTTAATTAATTCATTAATTAGATTGACAAAAAAATAGGGTTGAAATTCAAGTTTTCATACTCCAATGACGTACAAATTTGAAATGTAACAGTGTGAATGGAAGATTGATAAACAAAATACTGTGTGTGTGTATATGAGGTTTTAAGTGGTCAAGACAGTCAGTTAGCCGCTTTGATGTATCGTCCAGTTCAACTTTGTAAACCTTTCTGGGTTGCTCCAAAAGGAGAAGCTATTCTTTTCTATAAAATATAAGTATTCTTATCTGTTGTTACGCACTCTCTATTTTCTTTAAAACATAAACATCATTTTTCTGTAACTTCCAATAATAATTTAAAAAATAGCGAAACAATTTAGAAAGTCTAGTATTAAGTTAATATGATACCTTTGTCTTCAAGGTGGACAGAAGTCATTGACAAACATGGTAATTGTAGTTTAAATTAAAGTTTGTAGACTAATAAATATAAAAATTAGAAATAGTTTCAAGTGTTTCACTGGTTTTCTTACCAACCCAATGCATACATTAAAATTTAGTTTGTAATAAATGTTTTTTCAGTAAGATACATTTATAAGTACAAGATTGGCAAGCAAAAATACTTACAAAAACGAAAAGAACACAACAGCCTTGATACATAGAAACTTTCCAATTGGTTTCATTGGCTTTAAGGCTTCAGAATTGGCTCGGTAGAACAATACTAAGCAGTACATGGCTATGAATTGCGACAGATTATTTAACGCAATCATATAAGGAAATGCAACATTTCCACGAAACTCGCCTTCACCATAAACATCATTCAACGCACAAATGCTGCAACATAAATGACTTAATGAATTATTTTTTACTTCTAATTTACTTTCAATTATAGTTAATTAATCAACTTACAATGAAATAAGTGTTGATAAAGGTCTAACAACAGTATACTGGAGAATTCCATGTTTACACTTATGAACAAATTCACGTCCCATTCGCCAAGTGGGCAAACAACACAAAGGAAACATGTGTTTAACCTGCTGCTGTACGGGTAATTCATGACGGTTTTCAAGTTGATGTTCAATAGTATTGAGGTAGGCCAACAGGTACATCATAAAATTATAAATAACGTAAGCCTCATAACACTCACGTAAACTATCAACGTAAATACTTTGTTCTGGATAAATTAATCCAAGCCAAGCATTAACAGCATAAATTGGTACCATCCACAATATTCTAATGATATATTTTTGTAATCTCGGTTGTGTATAATGAATCATATGTTGTATTATTTCATAAAAAGCTATTGGTAATGACAATAGCACAAAAGCACCACCAATCAATGCTCCTTGGTCTTCTTTGTTAAAGCCATTTTTCATTGAATTTCTTAGCAATATCGGCACAAGTATACATATTAATAATGTGTACAACCCTGTCAACACTGGCAGTATCCATATTCTCCATTTTCTACAAATATTGGCCATTTTGTTACTCATTAAGTTTTTATTCTATATTACACTAATTAAAGATATTTCTTGATATTATTATTAAATTTAGGTTATATGAACTGTTTATTTCATCTCGTTATAGATTATTTTTAGTGTCCAGTCCTGTAAACAAGTATTATGAGTCATTTCTATAATAAAAATTCAATTTAATTTGTATAATTTCAATTATTACCATTGTTAAAGATATAGACATTGCAATAACATAATGGATTAACATGTAGTCCTTTAAAACACTTGAACAATTTATCTATTGTTATCGTTAATTTTACATAATTATAACATTCATTATTGTTTTATCATTGCAATAGTTATTGTTCTTTCATTCTTTCACTTGTTTAAATAATGCCATTGTCCAAAATATTTTAGATATTTTTTAATGATAAGAAGACTCGATGATGTCGTCCGGTGATGATTATCACAATTATTTGCGTTGTTAGTTTATAAGATATGATTCAGTTTATCTACAATTATTATTGCCTTGATAATGTATTTAATAGTTATAATGATGAGCAGAAAATGATGCAAAAAAGTGTTAAATTATTTTTTATAAAGATAATAATATGTACTGGTATAAAAATAGGTTATCTATCACTAATTACTATCCACGTTACACATAATTTAACAACAATAGAATTTGGAAACTTCTATTATCAGTTATAAATATATTTTTTCATTTCTTAGTCTCAATAAATTAAAAAAAACACTATAGTCTACTAATGACTACAAGTTGATATTATCAAGATACTCCGAAATGATTGACAAGTAGTTGTGGCAGTTCTGTTACTGCTACCTATCAAAAAAATCAACACTAGTTGAAGTTACTTTCTGCCTTATCGACGCAAGATAATTTACCATCTCCAATATTTTAAATATTGATGAAGAATCGAATATTTGAAGTTGAATAAAATTAATTAAAGTAAACAATTAAAATTTCATTTATTCTTAAAGAATAGGTAAAAATAAAATGTTCAATGAGTATGAAGATTATAATATAAGTTGATTATCAATTATTTTGAGTGAGAACTTGTATGGCTGTAGAATTAGTCTGAAGCGACATTTATTTGTGGATGGATGTCATGTTTACCACACGTCATGATAAAAGAAAGCACGACTTTGCAGTATGGTTAAGTTTTATCAGTGAGCTAGTGTTAATTATTAATTAATTTAAATAAATATTGTGACTGTTTGGCGCATTTATGAATAAATTTTTAAGTAAAATAAATCATTGCTATTTCATATTAATCATAAAAAAATGCCGTGCTGGTACTTTGAGAAAGAAGAATTAAAAAATACTCCGTCTATTCAAGATGGAATTGATTATGAGACTGAATGTCGCTATCGAAAAGAAGGTGCTAGATTTATTATTGACACAGGATCTAAAATGGACTTGGGATATAATACAATGGCAACTGGAGTTGTGTATTTTCATAGATTTTATATGTTTCATTCATTTAAACAATTTCCTAGATATGTAAGTAAATAACTGTACATAACCCCACTAGTGCTCGTTTTTTCAATAACCTTTTTTTTCTTTGAGTAATTTAATTCAAAAAATCAATATATTTTTAGGTTACAGCTTGTTGCTGTTTATGTTTAGCTGGTAAAGTTGAAGAAACTCCTAAAAAATGCAGGGATATAATTAATACTGCCAAAACATTATTGACTAAACAAAAGTTTATGACTTTCGGAGAAGATCCAAAGGTTTCTTATCAAAAATTCATTTGTTATCAACAATTTTTCAAGAATTTTATTGATTTATGATTGATTATTTTCAGGAAGAAGTGATGACTTTAGAAAGGATTTTACTTCAAACAATTAAATTTGATCTCCAAGTAGAACATCCTTATAGTTATTTGATAAAATATGCCAAATGTTTGAAGGGAGATAAAGGGAAGTTACAAAAAATGGTTCAAATGGCTTGGACATTTGTCAATGACAGGTAATTTGATAATACAACGTCCTATTTACATTTATAATTAGAAAAGTATCTATAAATTTAATATTTCTGTATTAGTTTATGTACAACACTATCATTACAATGGGAGCCAGAAATAATAGCAATAGCTCTAATGTATTTAGCAAGTAAACTGAGTAAATTCGAGGTTGTAGACTGGATTGGAAGACAACCTAAGCACTTGAGGTGGTGGGATATGTTTGTGGAAGACTTAACGATGGATCTCCTAGAAGGTATCATCAACGTTTGCTTAACAGCTTTTTTTATAATTCTAGGATAAATGAGAAGTGAACAATCTTAGCTTGTTTTGCTCATCAAATAAATGATAACCATACTGATCAGTTGCTCTTGGAAAGTCAAAGGTTGCCCATCATTGCACTAGAACAGTGCTGGGTAGCTTTATGCTGAGCACAATGTGTTCCCAAGATATACTTTGTACCCCAATAAGACATTTTGACACTTTTTCTAGTTATTGTACACAGCCTAAGTTTATCCAGCTCTGTGCTAGGGTAATTTAGTTCATTAAAATTGATGCAATATACGTTAAGTAACAGTAGGAATTCTTAAAGGGTTAAAAAATTATCAAGTATTATTCCAAGTCAATAATATTAAACTTCTCTTCATCTAGACATTTGTCATCAAGTGTTGGATTTATATTCATCACAATCAGACAACTCAAAGCCTCCAGATTCACCTCCAATAATGGCTACCAATACCCCTAATCGAGATAGTGTTGCTCCACCGCCACCACCTCCACTTCCACCAGCTCCACCATCGGAATCAACTCCTACTACTCCAAATGGTAGGACAGGAATATTTTCTTCCATCAATACTGATGGGGAACCTCACAAATTAAATATGCCGTTCATCTTTTTAGCATCAAAACCATCAAAAATACCTAAACTCGACGTAACACCAGGTCCGTCAAATGGTTGTCCACCTGTGGATCCACCAGTGGAAGGTGCGAAGCCTTTAGAAATACCTCCACCTCATTATCCTCCATATTCTACTAATTTTCCAACCGCTGCTCCTTATCCTCCCGTATTTCCACCAGCTAATATATCTGTTCCTCCTCCACCAGTAAACGCCATGAATCATATGGTACCACCAATGCGTTTGGGACCAACACCTCCACCTATCAGACCTACTCCACCTCATCCTGCACCTGGTCCACCCTTTCCACCATATGGATATCCCACAAATGCTTATTTCCCTTCAGGTACTCCTGCACCACCACCACCAACTCCTCCTCCACCACCACGTCCTCCATATTATCCTCCACAGCCACAGTAAAGGTATTTTGATATTGAATTATTCTTTAAATAAATAATGCAACTTATGTAAATAAATAATATTTGTACGATGGTAATTGTTTAGTTGAGGTTCTTCATTTACAATTATCTTTTTTATTTTTTTATTCATTAATTTTTAATTAACAATTATGAAATTAATATTTAAAATTATGTCTTACAACTGCTCTGGTGTTCATGGACATCAATGATTCTTTTATTTCATACAATTATTCAATAAATGAACACATTTTTTCTATTTATCATTTATTGTTGTTGTTAGATTATAACGTCACCAACAGTGGCGTGACGATCGCTAGATTTGTTACTCACAACGTTTCATATCCCTCATATTATTCTAACTAAATAAAAACATCAGTAACAAACTAGTGAGACGACACAATTGTCTGATAGTTATTTTAAATAATATTTATAAAAACAATTGATTTAATTTGCGTAATTATTGACGATTTGAAAAGAAGATTATTTATAGATAAGTTATTTATTGAAACGTAGTATTTATGTATGATTATTTTTATATTATGTGCTGAAATTGAATCATAAGTGTGAATAAAAGAGCAGTTATTTAATTAAGTTGTGATTTGTTATCTATAAAAGTTACTTTTGAAGCAATGAAAGTCAGACTGATTTTGATTATTATAATTTTTTGTGTTATTGGAAGAACGAGGTCGAAGTCTTGGAGAGATAAAAATTGGAATCGATCACCAGTGATTTTTAGTAAGTCATTTTTTTTATACTTTTTTATTGTTAGCTTTGTGTTTTATGTTTCTGTGTAATTATAAGTCTTTTTATGATGATAATTGCTAGCTTCATTACTCAATTATGTTGTTGTTGATTGATGGATATTTTATATAACCTTATTCAGATCATAAGCTGATGAATTTTAAACAGTTCCAGGAGATGGTGGAAGCCAAGTTGAAGCTAAACTTAATAAAACTACTGTTCCACATTACCTTTGTGAAAAAACATCGGATTTTTTCAATATTTGGTTGAATCTGGAGCTGTTGGTGCCTATCATCATTGACTGTTTCGTAAGTTTTATTGTTTTTAAGTCTAAAAATACATCCACATTGACATCTGCTTTAAAAAATGGAAGAAAATTTATCAAAATGTCAAACTTTACCTTTCATTCTGTATCTTTTCTTTCACAACCTTTTGTCTGAATGTTATTTATTGTACAATTCCTAGAAGTTTTGAGAAAAAATAACCTCACAATGCTTTTGTCACTTTTTTGGGGGTAACCTGAGGGTAACTATGAATCAATCGAGCAGAACTTGTTTATTTTTTAAGCACAATTTCATCATCTTAATTTGTTGTTAAACAAAATAAAAGCTAACAAAATTTTTATACATAAAATTTAATCTTTCAAAATAAATAAATAATTGTTACGATTTTAGCTTGTTGGTATTGAAAAATAGTCACTCGCTTCAAGAAAATATGAAAGAAACTAATTAAAAATTATTTACGAAAACTTACTCTAATTAAAAACAATTCTTTGTTCCTTAGAAGACATTTGTTTCATTATTCAGACAAATTTTGTTACTCTCCTGGTTGGGATTATGTAAAGCTTATGCAAATGTCTTCTAGTCATCCATACTATCTTTAATAAATTCATTTCTATTCATTAAATTAAAATAAATATCACAATATAACTAAAGAAATATCTATTTAAATGAGTGGAACAAATAATAATAATATTTTAATTTTCAGATTGATAACATGAAATTAGTGTACGACAATAAAACACGAACTACAAGTAATACACCAGGTGTTGAAATAAGAATACCAGGTTGGGGTGATTCATTCCCTGTGGAGTATTTAGATCCCAGTAAAGCATCACCAGGATCTTACTTCAAAGACATTGGAAATATGTTGGTTAATGATTTGGGATATGTTAGGAATTTTTCCCTTAGAGGGGCACCTTATGATTTCAGAAAAGCTCCAGGTAATTCAAAAATTAATCACGCATTTAACCGGAAGTTTACTCTGATGATAGAATTGTTTTAACCCAACATAAATCAGATGAAAAATTGATTACTAAAAGACAGGATTACAAACATACTCACATGATCACATTTTTATTAGTTTACTTATCATCAATCTCGACTTTTAATACTTTTAATTATTTTTTGCAGTGTATTAATAGCAATGATTATCATTGGAAATTTTTATACAAACCGAAACTCTTTATAACAAGCAATTTTTAATAACTATTCTTTTTTAGTAGACCTGAAATGGCAATTTTTCAACCTTGATCAAACTTGACTGAAATATTCCTAAGCATGCGAAATTGGACTAGGGATAGTTTTAAGGGGGTTGCGAACCCAACGTCAAGGTGAAAAGGGGGAATACCCCTTTTTTAGCATAAACTATTATAGATGCTAAAACGTTAAAAAATGGCAGTACACTTGTACAGATTTTTAAAACACTATGTGATTATTGTGTTATAATTTTCTAGAATAATAAATGAGAACTAGTATCAGTAAATAGTGTGTACTATACGTAGTATGTAGTAATTTCCAGCACAATTTAAGTGGATTTGTATAAATTATTATTATTTTTTTTTAACGTTTTTAATGTAAACTATTATAGATGCTAACACGTTAAAAAAGTGGCTTTTGGAGCAATCTTACCCCCTTTTCACCCTGACATTGGGTTCGCAACCCCCTTAATACTATCCCTAGTCAAATTTCGCATGCCTAAGGAATATTTCTTCTTCAGTCAAGTTTGACTGGACTATAAGTTTTGCTAAAAAACTCACTGTTTTACTTATAGCTAATCAATTGACATTAGTTAGTAAAAAACTAATCTAATATTCCAGCTTCATTTGATATTTTTCTGAAACAAACACATAAAATATGATCCCATAAATTTCAATTATTTACTCTTGTAAGTGGATTATTGTTTTGACACTGTACTTGCTTGAAAATATTGTCAATGGTACTTGAAATTATATAAATTCATAAATCATAAAAAATCATCAATAAATTCAGAAATCCATTTATAGATTAAGTGCTAGAGACTAAATGCAGGTCTCTAGTCTCTACTCTCTTACTCTCTACGCTAGATCTTGCGCGTAGATCCTGTAATGCACAGGTTAGGCACAAATTTCTGTACAACCTCCGCCGTCCCTCTTACGGCCTAAAATTAATCATCAATAAATTCAGACTTTTACAAAATTATTGTCAGAGTTAAGCCCGATTATTAGAAAAGCAAAAATTATATCACGAGGATTTCACGATCATATTAATGATAATTTTGTTTTTTATTTCTAAATCAAGGATATGAATGATAATTACCTCAAAAAATATTAATTATTAAGATGCTAATTGTTAAATATTGAATTTTTGTAGATGAAAATGGAGAATTTTTTGTTAAACTGAAAAATCTCGTTGAAGAAACCTACATCATGAACAACAAACAACCAATAACCTTGATAGCCCATAGTATGGGTGGTCCCATGAGTCTATTGTTCCTTCAAAGACAAAGTCAATCATGGAAAAATCAGTACATCAAACGTTTAATAACTTTGGCAGCTGTATGGGGTGGATCAGTTAAAGCACTAAAAGTATTTGCAGTTGGTGACAATTTAGGTACTTATGCATTAAGAGAAAGTATTTTAAAAGATCAACAGATCACAAGTCCTAGTCTAGGGTGGTTGACTCCATCAAGTCTTTTCTGGAAAGAGAGTGAAATTCTAGTCGAAACACCGCATAAAAATTATACTTTATTGGATTTACATCAATTTTTTATGTAAGTTGATTATTATTCATTTTTCAATCTTAAACATTTCTTAATAAAAATTAGTTTTATTTCTATCTAGAGATGTTAATGTGCCAAATGGATGGGAATTCCGGAAGAATAATGAAAAGTTTCAAAATGATTTTACAGCGCCTGGTGTTGAGATTCATTGTTTGCATGGAGTCAATGTCAGCACTATAGACAAGTAAGTAATTATAATTTGATATTTATATTGAAAATTAATAAGTCATTATTAAATTTGTAACAGTAAGAAAAAATTTTTCACTTAGTTTATTAAAGATAGTACTACCGGTTTTAAAACTCACGTTTAGAATTTAATGAAACTTGGCATACTAGAATATAATGACATTATTATTGATTAGTTAAATTTTTGAAGGCCTACAGAGAACTGAAAAAAAAATGAATCCTTAAAAATTTTTGCCTTCACCATTGATACTTATGGGAAATGACAGGCTTTATTTTGTTTCATAAAACTGGATGTTCAGATTTCTATGATAGTGGTGTCATGACTGTACTACAAGAATACTTAAGAATTTTGATTGTAAAATTTTTTTTTCCAGTTTTCTGCAGGCCTTTAAAAATGTAACTGATCAATTATGATGTTATAATGTACTAATATGCCAAGTTTTATTAAATTCTAAACGTGAGTTCTAAAACCGGTAGTACTACTTTAATAATAATGATTATTAATATGTAGAAATAGTACATTTCACACCTAGGGAGGAAAAGTAGACTAGCTTAAACCACTTTTAACGCAGATCTAAGTGTGTAAAAATTGACTACAATGTTAATCAAATGGGTGACATCATATTTAACACACTTATCCGCATTAAAATAATGCATTTTGGAAAACCGAGATATACAGTGCAGAGTCTAGATAAATAATTTGTCAGTAACAAATTTGGAGTCTCATATCATTTGATCAATTATTCTTCGTTATCGGTGTGACATATATTTTTAATGAAATGACAGTTTTTTATAATTAAACTAGTCTATAACCTTTCTGACATCACCCTCTGCATGCGTGCAAAATTTGGTCGCAATCGGATGAACCGTTTCGGAGATTAGTGCGGACAGACAGCAGACACCGGAAATTTATATAATAGTATAGATATCAATTTCTAATAGTATTTAAACAGTACTAAATAATAAAATAATAAAACTTTTTCAATTAATTGGACCGGATTGCATATGTAGATATATAGTTCGATTTAAATAGAAGTTAAAAGACTTCACATGTGTAGAAATTGAAATAAGAATGCAGAGGTGAATTTTACCGTCATGTTTTAAGTAATTTTTTAAGGATAATGTTTTCAATTCATGTACGCATATATATACTGATAAATACGCCTATATGCCTCTGTTGCCTCCGTATCAACCTATTGAAATGACGCTCTGAACTTATTTGGCGACGTAGTTGCCTCCGAAACGGAGGCAATTAGATTTTTCCATGTTTAACCTCACCTAACCAAATTTTTGTAACTTGGTACACTGTACTTGCAGGGTAATTTTTTTTTTTTTTTAAACGGACAGCACACAATTTAAAGTTTATGATACCTACTTTTTTCGAAAAAAGTAGATTCATTTTTCTGAAAAAAATAAAATAATTTTACTCCAAAATGCGGAGGCGATAAAGATATATATATATATATATATATATATATCAGTTATCAATAACGATCTTACTTTCTTTATTGGACATGGTGGATCATTTTCAATACCCAGAACTCGTGCTGTTATCGCTGCTGCAGTTCTTTCTATTGTGTTATGGTTTGCTTGACATAATTTAGTATCTTTTAGAGACGTAGGTTTACTGTTAAGAGGTCGTCCATCCAAAATCTAATCAGTTCTAAGTTGCGTAATTATGCATTGAATGCAATTGGTCCCATGTGGATATTATTCTTTGTTTTCGAGTTAATCAAGACAAAAAATAATTCCACACACACACACACGTCCACTGGAAAACACACCTTTTCTGTGTACTATAAGAAATCTTTTTCTGTTGGAAAATCAAACATTATCAGTATTAGGAAAAAATTTCTCATAAATAAAATAAATTTCCTGTATCGACTGGATTATGTAATAGGAGAGTCAACGTATCAGTAAATAAACGACGTGTTTAGTATATTTAAATATTGCCAACATATAGATATACTGATCATGTTTATTCACTGGTACGTTGACCCTAATAAATTTTGTTTTCATTTAAATTCCGCATATAAAATGAGACTTCGTAAGTCTTAACTTCATGATTATTTCAGGAGATCAGTTTCTACTATCTTCCACTATAATGAATAAATAAAAAACTTACTACGATATTCCGTACAATATCAAATTTAAAAAAAGTATCTCATTCGAAATCAACATACTTGGAATTTCGATTAACTGACTAAAAATTGATCTTATAATTTATTCAAAAATTTTTGCATAAAAAATAATAAATATTTATTTATGCTACAATTATCTTATAACATAACAATCAAAAAAATACGAAGAATTATACAAATAATTATACTAAAAATATTTTAAATCTATCTCGGTGGATTTGAGGTAACTAATTGTTAACTTTAAAATAACAGTCACAATGTGCGATAAAAAGACGGTTATTTAACTAACATGCAACGTTCAATCAACTGTTAACCCGAATGCAGCCTTTCTTTTCTTTAAAAAATATGAAGCAACAGTTGCAAAAAAAACAACTCTTAACTTAATGCGTTCATTAGAAGTTGATATGACGTTAAGTTGACCAATAATCAAATCGTACATTCTAACGGTTGATTTACAGTTGATTTAAAGTCATTTTAAGATAAAGTAACGCTAAAATAACTCAAAGTAAACCCTAAGTAATTATAACTCTCATTTAACAGTTGACATGAATCCATCAGGGATACGTATATATACCGGCATATCATTATCTTCATCAATGTCCCGATTAAAAATAATTTCGTATTGTTCATTCTCAGTACTGAAACCGGTGTCCTCACCATCATTTTCATTTTTTAATAGATTGACTGATACAGGAAGATAGGAATTACCTTGAAAACTATGTGCACCGTAAGATTGTAAGCATTTCCCTTGTATAAAAAAAAATCATTATAAAATTGAAAACAATAGTTTCTTCAATGAAAAAAAATGAGTTAAATTCTCAAAGATGAATAAAATTCTTATTCTTCCCCGAGTGAAAATAAATAGGCCCAAAAGAAGCCCAAAATGACAAATAAGCCTAATACAGGCCCGATTGAAGCCTAATCTTGTTTTAGAGAAATTTTCAGTGCTTAAAAAGAGCCCAAGGCAGGCCTTAATTTCGAAAGAGCCCAATTTAAGCCTAAAAATTATTTTCTAGGCCTGAAACACGCCCAATTCAAGCCCAAAAATATTTTCTGTGAGCCCGAAAAATGATTTGGGCTTGAATCAGGTCTCCTTTGGGCCTACGTAAAAATTAATCATTTTCACTCGGGATTTATAAGAATAAATATGTTCTTAATAACTATATTTTTTTAATCTACCACAACATAATGAGTCCCTTAAATATAGACTATTATATTCGATTCATTTAATAAAATATAAGAAATCATAAAGTTAAATTCAAAAATAGAAAAAGTATTTTAAAATCAAGATAAATATTACTTGGTTTAGGGCGAAAATGTACAAAAAAAATGTCACTAAAACATTCATTTTAACCGTAAACAATATGAACTGAACTTTACAACGTTTACTTTTCATTTAAATATTTTATATTGTCATTATTTAAATCATATAATCATTTAATATTATAAAAATTGGAACTATTAGTTGGAACGCTACGTAAAGTAATCAAGGCGCCTCGAGCGAAAATATATAAAAGTATATGGACCTTTGCGCACTAGTTTTAGGCAAATAGATATAATAAAGAAATATCTATAGGAAAAGATTAACATTAGATAACAACAATTTATGGAATGAAACGAGATGAAGACGATTAGTTGAAGAATCAGTAAAATATCCGAAATTAAAAATCTAAAGCTTTTTGACAGATTTTGGTCGGCTATATGTAAACGAGTAAGAGTTAGAAATATAAAAAACAATCTGTCATATTCTGTCAAATATCTGTGATATTTTCCTATTTTATCTATTTATTTGCCTAAAACTAGTGCGCGAAGGTCCATATACTTTTATATATCTATATATTTCCGCTCGAGGCGCCTTAAATCACGTATAAAGCCGCCTCCTGAGCTGATACTGGACAGTCGTAATGTAGAATTTCGTATGCTTCACCACACTGTTTTTATTATACTGCAATTAAATTGAATTATTTTATACAAAAATTTTATGCTTATTAATTTCTGTTTTTCATTGCGTTAGTTTAAAACTACAGTAGACTGTTTAATGCAATATAGAACAATGGTTTCAACTTGCAAACACAGACTTTTAGAGAAGCTTAAGGATGTACGAGTGTTAATTTTTTCACGGTCGAATTTTTTGAAATTTCGATATTCGATTCATTTTTTAAAATAAAAAATTTTATAAAAATTTCAGCACAATTGTGCCGCTAGTTTTTGAGAACTATTAATTTGAAATTAATTTTTTTACACAGGCTCTTATGGAGATCACGTGATATTTTATAAAATCTGTATTACCACTTAATTGGTAAATGTACTTAATAGGTAAACTTGCGCGAAGAAGTCTGCCTGGCGAACACCTGGAGTGTTCTTCTCTCTGTTCGACTAGCTGGGAATCATTATTGACAGGGACTTATTCTAACTGAGTATACTTAGAATAATATTATGAGTGGTTTGCAGATGTTGAAGAAAGATTGCAAGGAACGTTTTGTCCTCGAAAAAACACATGTTTCGTTAGGGTCTAAGTAATTTTGAAGGAAACGTGACTTTGGAGTAACTTTGATGGTGATTCCTATAAAAGCCAATGTACACAAATTAATTTCAATTACTAGAATCTCAAACAAATGCCTTAAGCTGTTTCACAATTATTAACATTTTTCATTGATATATATTTTACCGACTAACTGCCCAATTGATTAACTGACTATTCAACTGCTAGAATAGCAGCTAATGTAACGATTTGAAAATAACATTCATTAAAAGTAAAAAGTAAGTGTAATATAAAAAATTAACGGACAGGTTCACTTACAATTAAAAATTCCGAGAAATTCGCAAAAAATAAATAATTTTTTCCATTCCAAAAAAA